AAATTTATAGCCTATATGTGATTTTGATGTATAAGCTATATTACTGTAAAGCTTCTTCAAAATCCATTCAATAGTTTTTGCGTGAAAGAGTAACAAACGTCCATCCATACTCACAAACTTTCGCGTTTATAATATTAACAAGATTATACTAGCTACCCGCTCTGGCTTTTCACGGGTGTACATGTATTATATGTACATATAAACCTACCTCTTGAATCACTCTATCTAGTGCTAAAAACCAACTCTGGTGATGATTAAAACATTGATCCATTAAAGTATCCTTCAAATTATTAATACTCATGCTCTAATGAGCAATACACAAGTTTCCTGCTTATTCTTCTTGTGAATCTACATTCCGAATAAGCGGTAGAATAAAAAAAACTTGACTATTCAAAAGTGCTTATTTGAATAAAGATTATTTCTAATAGTTCAAAAGCAAAACGAGAAGTACATACAATATTTGCATTTTACTTAGGCGGAGAAACAAAAAAAAATATCACTAACCCTCAAAAGAAAGTAAATTTTTTTGTTAGTCGCTAAATGCCTATTAAATCTATTTGTGCCTTCTGTAAGTACCGACCTTTACCTTCAAACCATTTTCTTCTCAAGACAGCGGCTTAAAATGTAGTTAAACTCTATATTCAGTTTTATGAATGTGAATAAATGCTTTAATTTTAGCTAGTAACACGTCTAGATGTCAAGAACACCTTTGGACAGTTATGTAAGAAAGGACAATGAAATACCGTCCCATATTAGAAGCTGGCGGGGCGCCAACGGCACGCACCGAACTAGCTCAAGGTCACATCATCGGGTCAAACTCGCCTCAATCACTTATATAATTGTGAAAACTGATTTTTCTCACTGAATCAGTGGCAACTGATGAAGGTTTTTCTGAAAATAATATGAATTGAAGATATTCTTAAATCTATATCGTTGGTATTCTATTCTTATTATATATATAATCTATACATATAAGAGTGTCTGTTTGTAATATTGAAATGACCGTTTCTTACTACATGCATATGAATATAAATACGGTACATACACCAAAATAACATTTACAATTTTTGTCTGTCTGTCTGTCTGTCTGTCGGTCTGTTTGTTCGGGCTAATCTCTGAAATGGCTGGACCGATTTTGACGAGACTTTTACTTGCGGATTTGTGGATTCACTTGCTCAATTTATAAGGAGTGATTAGCCTTAATTTGTCTGTCTTTTTGTCTGTTTGTCTAATCTCGGAACGGCTGGGAAAATTTGACGATACATTCACTTGCAGATAGCTAATATTAAAAGGCTTAATTAACCTCACTTTACTTTTATGTTAGAAATTGTATTTATATTTATTCAAATTCCACGCAGACGAAGTCGCGGGTAATCTTTTACTAAAAATGTCGCTATCTGTACTATTAAGATATATGAGATAAAATGTTATTGAGATATTTTATTAACGTAAAAGAAACCAAAGGAATCATCATTTTTATTTTATTTATTTATTTATATTTTTAGTTTAGTGTGTGTAATTTACGCCTACACTTTTTAACATTAACTTTAAGAAATCACGGATAACATAATATTGCATATAATACTAATAAAATGGTCATTAAATCCTGAAAATAAATAAATAATGAATCTTCTCTTTTGTCTCGTATAAAAGAAGATAGTACTCACCCACGCGGGATTTAGCCAAATTATTATTAGATATTATTTTTGTCTGCTTTCTTGAGCTAATCTCAGAAACAACTCGACTGATTTTGTACGGTTTCACTAATGAATCGTGGTAAACTTTAGTTACAATTTTATGTTTGTCCTAATTCAATGAGTAATTGAACGAAGAAATTATACATATAACAGTAGGTACTAGCTGACCCCTCTGCACTTAATTTCCTCGCCTTTTGCAATATTTTTCATTGCAACTCCGTTTCTATTGGTCGTAGCGTAATGTTATATAGCTTAAAGCCTTCCTCGACAAATGGACTATCCAATACAAAAATAATTTTTATTCGAACCAGTAGTTTCTGAGATTAGCGCGTTCAAACAAACATACAAACAAACTCTTCAGTTTTATAAATCCTGAGTGGGAGTCATATTAAGCGTTACCAGTATGATTTAGCTTTAAGTTAAATGGTAAACATTATCTATACATCTGTACATATGAATAAAATTGGAGTGTCTGTTTGTAATATTGAAATAATCGTTTTTTACTGCATGCATATGAATATAAATACGGTACATACACCATCACTTTTTTTTTCTGAAATTTTTTTTTTTTGTCTTTCTGTTTGTTCCGGCTAATCATTGAAATGGCTGAACCGATTTTAACGGGACTTTTTTGGCAGGTAGCTGATGACAGAAGGAGTAACTTAGGCTACTTATATTTTAGAAAAATAAAGTCAAATTCCACGCGGACGAAGTCGCGGGAACAGTTAGTTGTAAATACGAATGCTGATGCAGCATTACGCATAAATATCTTTATTATTATTATTATTTAATACAAGTTCTAACACTCGGCTAGTTAAATACGCAGTTAAAAATATCCAATTGAAGAACATTGGTATTTGGTCGGCGCTGTTCTTTCGCTGTAGTTTCGAAACAGATGAATAAACAAAATTTTACTCACTTTCTTCCGCGTTGTACCAATATTACTCATTACAGATTTCAGAAATTTTATATTGTCTCAATTCTAAACAATAGAGGTGATGTATATTTAAATAAACTTTAATAGAAGCACTTTTCGTCTCTTTTTTTAATTTTAAATTTAAATTTAATAATATAAGAATAATAATAATATCTCAGCAGCAGAGCTTGTATTATATGTACTAGACACGATATAAATACTTACATTTTTTTATTTCTAAATAGTCTGGTTACAGTACCTACAAAACAAACTCGTCGCAGCTGACTGTTCGCTTATATCTTTTAAATTACGCAACGGGTTTTATTTATTTATTTATAAACTCTTTATTGCATCAAGTGAATTAATACATAAGAATTTTACAGAAAAGAGATATGGAAGTACAAAAGGCGGTCCTATCGCTAGAAGCAATCTCTTCCAGACAACCTTTTTAATGGGTTAGGATTAGGGTTTTAATGCAGTTTTCAACAATATATAGAGTTATTCAAGGTTTATATGTATATCTAATACATGCGTGTATAGTATAGAACAACCCGTGTAATTCAAAGGGTTGTTCAAATGTATCCGTTGAAAGCCGGGTTTCTATATATATTTACTAGCGGGTGATAGTAAATATATATAGGAAACACCAAGAGGAATGGAATCCGCAACCATTGGAATTGGTACTAAACTGCTAGACTGCCGAAACCGTCGAGTATTGACTACTGATGACTCCAGCCCGACGCCGCGTGATTCAAGTACAACATTCACATATAAATTTCCAATAAACTATTGCCTACTGTTACATGAACAGTAGTTACAATCAGTTCCATAAAAAAATGATAAAGAACAGTCTGATATTCATAGTGTGGTTCCGTGTTTGTTTTCGGTTTATTTTCCATTGGCGACTCGCCGTGGCTTCTCAGTTTTTCTCAACTGTAATAATGCGTAAATCAAATCAAAATTCATTAAATTATGTAAGACATTTTAGCTGCTTATGAACGTTAAGTCTTTTGGATTAATATTTTGTTTCTTTTTAGAATCTGTATAATGAACTGGACCTATACGAGCTGTGAAGGTGAGTGTTGAAGTACGTCGGTAATGGGGACTTTTAAACCTACACCCGGGTCACAAGTTCCGGGAACTCGTCGGAGTCTCCCTCTCTGCCACATGATGGAACCAGCACGGCACCAGCACGGTGAATCCATGGAACGATAAAAGTAAAAAATACATGACAAAATTATTATAAAATAAGTAATTTACTGGAGAACCCTAAAAATATTTACACGCGATGTAAAAATCACGTGCAATAAACATAAACAACTTTGTACTTTTTTTACCAGCCAAAGTTTATGATAAACTTTTATTCGCACTTTGACACAATTTAATATCAATGACAGTTTTTTTTTAAATAATTTTATCGTAAGAGACAATGGAAAAAATTCTGACGGCCCTCTTGTAAGACGACATACTGAGCAAGTAATCACTGCATTCTTGCTTCGCCATTGAATCCACTCGCAATGATCATTTTAATTATGTTACATTTGTTGTCCTTTTCAAACGCAATCGAGCATAAAGTTGATTCGTTCACTCTGTGACCATAATAACGTTTGAGTTTTTAAGTCGTCAATCTATTGATAATTCTAAAACTCTATAGTAACATTACTGAAATAATATTTTTTTTTGTAGTTAATGGTTAAACTCAGAGAGAGCATCGTGACGACCAGGTGATTTACTGTCCTGAATTACGCCCAAGAGGTAGTGATTTCATATCTGATTGACTTCAAAAAAGAAACTTCGTGTCAATTTATATTTCCGACTGACTTTCCAGTGAAGAAAACACCGACATCAAACCAAAAAAATATCCGGGCGACAAATGTAGGCTCACCCCTGCCAAATTAGATTTTTATAATGTCTACCCGCCAAAACCATCGTTGTAATTTGCCATTTGCCAAGATGGGCTAACTGACCTGACTTCATGCTCATTTTATCAACGTTCATAGGTGGGTTTTTTTGTGGATGATAATGAAATGGTGCTCCCGCCTGCGCTAATGGTTTACGCTGGCAGGACACCAGTGGAGGATGATAAGATGAATATGAGGTCAGGTCAGTTAGCACATCGTGACAAATTCACTAGGAATTTATAACGATGGTTTCCAGGAGGAACCGCGTGGAGGTCGACCTAACATAGTACATTGCTAGCAGTGGGGGTTACTAGTTCCCATTACTAACAATCCCCTTCCCCCCTTCATAGGACGGTTCATGATTCCATTATCATCCATAAAATATAAAGATATGGATGCTTGTTGTTCAATTTGGTTTTTATCCTAATTTATTTAAATTCAGATAAAGGATAAATTCTATAAAAATAAAACGCATAGAAAACGTTACTCACATAAATTTATTGAAATTAAAATATTTTATCTACAATTTAATTACAATGTTTAACAATAGGAAGGTACATAAATACTCGTTAGACAGCTTTATAAATACATGTAAAGATTGGAATGATGCTTTCTTACTTTAGAAATAAATAGAATTCCCACTTCAATAAACTGGGGCCATTTTTATTTCGTGAAATTTGAATTTAGAATAACGGTTTCGCGCCAAAGGTTTTAACCAGTAACAGCCAGTTATAAAAATATGAGAGGTGACACCTGTATGTTGAACAATAAATTTTACACTCTCACAAATTTTACAAAACTGGATAAGTTCGTATTAAAGGAAAGGATACTTTATCCGTTGACACTAGCAACGAAGGCATTTCTTTTGCTAGCTTTATATTATACAATTTATAATATATATATTTTTACACTTATAACTTATATCCATATCGTGGGTCGATAACATCGAGTAGTTTCAACATCTTATTGACAAAATAAATAGAAGTTAATATGCACGCTCCCTCTATCTACTTCGTAATGGGGTTGCCCTGTAACAAAAAAACACATATTAAACGCACATTCATAACATTAATACTAGATTTAAAGACAAACTTTCTGTTCCTAAGTATCGTTTAGAAAAGATCAATCAGTCTTTTATGGGAATGGGTATAAAATTTTACAATAAGATAGTAAAGGATATACTGGAATTCCCTTTAAATATATTTAAAACATCTGTTAAATCATATTTATTGAGCAAAACCCTTATACACACATAATATACATAGAAAACAACCAAACCGATACAAACAATTATTTATTTGCCTTACTCTAATGCTGTTGGCCGTTGCTTGCTTTTACAGCTTCAACGGACGATAGGGGGCGAGTGCAGATGACACTCCAAACCCGCGAAAGGACTTACGAAGCGGCTGAAGGTCAACTCCCGCCTGACGGATACAACTTTAGTCTGAGGGCACCGCTAGGGATACGAACCTCGGCTCAGGCCGTCGTAATTTCGATCCCCGTTTCAGAGGAGGGGCTAAACAACCGAGGAATTGAATTAACCATCGGTAATAAAGCGGTGCGCTAATCAGCTAGACCACCGAGGCCGTCCATGTTGTAGACTTTATACAAAGTTCGATCTCGGTAATACAATGGTTACTAAAAATAAATACGTAAATGCTAAATGAATGCCAAACGATGTTATTAAAGTACAAACTTCATTGCCGGCAATGTCTCGCTGCTGCCAAAGTATGTTATTTAACATACGCATTGGTTCCTTAAAATGTAACAATGCGACATTTTTGACTCGATTTGGCTGTATGCGGTACGCTAAAAATAACTGCTGCACTATAGGTACCTATAACCAGTTTAGGGGATGGCGAACAGTACAAACAGGGCCTTCGTGCTTGCAGGGGCTTGCGTAACAACGCAAGCAAATTTTAAACAACCAGTGAAAGACATTTTGCCTAGCGGCAAGTTGCAAAGACTGGCATTTAATCGTAATATATGAACAAATTTACCTACACTAAAAGATACACATAAAAAAAATTGTCGTAAAAAAATTAACCCTCCATTAATTACAAGAGAACCGCATGCAGACCATTACTAACAATCCCCACTGGTGAAATTTATAGCCTATATGTTATTCTGAAGTATAAGCTATATTACTGTAAAGTTTCATCATAATCCGTTCAGTAGTTTCTGCGTGAAAGAGTAACAAACATCCATCTATACTCACAAACTTTCGCGTTTATAATATTAATTAATAATAATATAGTAGTTAAAGTATTTAGAGTTTTGTGGATTTATAAAAAAAAATACGATAATGAACGGCCGGTCTAAATCCACTATAACGTGTATAATCTATTTTGATCTTACACGTGACCTGTTTAGGTTTAGAGTTCTTTTTTGTTTTAAATACATCTAAATATAGTGCCGGCTACTACGTGAGTTATTTTTAGCTTACGTAGGATCAAGATACAAGTTACACATAGGGATGTAACATTCTGTATTAAAAATCGATTTTTATTGCATAATAATCTATCTTTTCATATTACAAATTTTTGGCCCCGTTAGGTCAACTGGTAATGCTTCGTATTGGTGTTTCTCTCTTATACATCTAGCGTGCTTACTACAACCAATTTTTTTTATGGATGATAATGGAATGGTGCATTAACTTGCGCTAACGGTTTTCGCTGGCGGAGCACCAGTGGAAGAGGTAAGATTAACGTGAAGTCAGATCAGTTAGCCCATCGTGACAAATTCACCAAGAATTTATTAGTCTACATTACTAACAATCCACTTTCCCCCACTATACCCTACTACGGCAGTGCGTTTGAAATCGTCCCGCCGACTAGTTTCAGACGGGAGTTGGCTTTCAGACGCTCTATAAGTCCTTCCTTTGGTTTGGTGCCATCTGCACTCGCCCCCTATCGTCCGGTGAAGCTGTAAAGGCCAGCTGCGGCCAACAGCATTAGAGTAGTCCGAAAAAAACACCGCCAACAAGTTATTACAATATTAACTTTGTATATATTTATTACCTCAATAGTGAACATATTTTTTCTCTATAGCAGTTTTATTTAATATGGCCAAACCTGTCTGCTAGTTTAGGTCTCCACTTTATCTTGTATAGTGTATACCGCTTGGAGAAAAAAGATCAGATCAAAAAAATAGGCGGTGTAAAGTATTATTTAAAATATTTTGTTATATTAAATTCATATAATATAACAAAAGTATATTAAAAAAACTGGTATAGATAAATAAAATTCACTATTGAGGTAATAAAAATATACATGTTGTAATGACTGGTCGGTGGTTTTTTTTCGGACTACTCTAATGGCAGTAGCTAGCCCTTTACAGTTTCACCGGACGATAAGGAGCGAGTGCAGACGGCACTCCAAATCAAAGAAACGACCTATGCAGTGAATGAAGGCCAACTCCCGCCTGACGGATACGACTTTAGTCTGAGGACACCGCTAGAGGTTCGAACCTCGGATCAGGCCGTCGTAATTTCGATGCCCGTTTGAATTGGACGGGGGACCGATCGGAGAGGCGGGGAAACGGATTGTAATTGAAGTTTAGTTGTTACAGTAGTAAAAACGATATAATGTGACTATAAGAGTGGTAGATCCATTTTAAAATATCTAGCAATTGTACGGCAGTAGTGCGTCAGCGACGCGCTATCGGCGCAGGCGCAGAGGCCGCGACATTCACGTGAGTGACGCCCGCGCCCCTCCATATTTATAGATAGCATACTCCACTGTCTACTCTGTAATCCAGGGGTGCCAACCGTAAATATTCTCTACAAATACGAGATTTCTCGCCCTCCGATCGATCCCCCGTCCAATTCAACCTTCAGACCCTTAGGGGTGCCCTCAAACTAAAGTCGTATCCGTCAGACAGGAGCTACAGGACGATATATTTTATATATATATATATATATATATTTATTTATGTACATTTTATGCCTAGATTTTCTTTATGACTATAATTGACTGGTAGAAAATACAGTAAAAAAATAATAAGAAACTCAGAACAATTCCCACAGCGTCATCTAGACCCAAGTTGAGTTAGCTAAAGCATGTGTTATGGGTACTAAATGACTAATACAAAATACAAATACATAGATATTTTTTTCCTAAATTCATACATTATACACAGAAAATACCCAGCGCGATACATACAATCATACTCATGAATACAAATATTTGTACCATGCGAGGAATCGAACCCGAGACAATCGGAAGTAAGCCACGCCGCTATGCAGACGTAGCCGTCAAAAAAAATTTAAATGTAAATATATTGTATCGTATGTTATTTTTAATTTTTTTTTTAATTTTAAAAACTCAATGCACAAATAAAAAAAAAATAAAGGTGCATATAGCGGACTTAACACCATAAGGCATTTTCTCCCAGTCAACCATAGGGCAAATAGAGATTGGTGGGCGGTGCATTCAAGGAAATAATAACATGAAATAAATAATAAAAGGAAATAGGTACAATTATAATAAAATTCATAAATTGAAATATATATATCCATCTACATACATACTTAAATAATAATAATATTGTGGGCATTAAAGTTATATAAATAAAAAACATACAGCACTTCTTTAAAAAACTTGCTTTTTTAAATCTAGCAACCCTACTGCTGGTGTTGCTATCTCATCTTTATCAATAGAATGCGAAGTAGACGGAATTAAAGTATTGCATATAAATCTGCGACCTTGGTCTCGCTGTCACGCTGAACAATTAGCATAAAGTAATTGCAGCCAATTCTGCGCAATTGAGCAAATAATCATTCTCTAATAGAATATTTATATGGGCTATCGAACATTTAAAAAATGTTTAAAATCAGTTCATTAGATCCAGAAATTACTCTTTACAACCTTACAACTGTACCTCTATAATATATTACTATACAATACATAGAAAGACATATCATTACATAGTTAAAAACAAAGTCGCTGTCGCTGTCTGTCCGTCCCTATGTATGCTTAAATCTTTAAAACTACGTAATGGATTTTGAAGCGATTTTTTTAAAAAATAGAGTGATTCAAGAAGGTTTATATGTATAATACATGTACACCCGGGCGAAGTCGGGGCGAGTAGCTAGTAAACCGATAAAAAGAGATTCTATAGAATACACACAAGTTTCTTGCTCGTTCTTTTTGTGATGAGACAGCTTTCCGAAAGAGCGGTAGATTAAAAAAAATGTGATGACTATTCAAAAGTGCTTCAATGTAAGTTTATTTGAATAAACGATTTTCTATTCTAAAAATAAATTGTATTGTGCAGGAATCGAACAGGCGCTTGAAGTAGGTAATTTAATAGATAATTTATCTACCTTTTACCATTGCACCGCTCGTCATCGACAGAGAATTCACACGCTAGAATCTAATCTCGGACAGTGCGGTTTGAGAGGAGCTTCCTCCCACGTACACGTAGATTGTTTAATGAATTTCCTGCCGAGGTTTTCTCATGGGGGGTTTTTCAAGAACGGTATATTAATGTCTCTTAAGGGTCAAGAACGGTATATTAATGTCTCTTAAGGGTCAACAACGGGCACGTGAGACCCCTGGTGTCTCAGGCGTCCATAGGCTACGGTAACCGTTTACCATCAGATGGGCCGTATGCTTGTTTGTCACCATCATAATATATAAAAAAATTACTAGACCACCGAGGCTGCCGTAAATACGAAAAATAGTAAAGTTATTTAATAGTTTTTTTTAATAACTGCACATATTAGGCATGAGCTTAACAACAATCAGCAGATTTTGCCAAGCTGAAGAAGAAACGCTACTACACATCCTACGTGGACCCCTCCGATCGATCCCCCGTCCAATTTAAACGGGGATCGATATTACGACGGCCTGAACCGAGGTTCGAACTACTAGTGGTGCCCTCAGACTAAAGTCGTATCCGTCAGGCAGGAGTTGGCCTTCAGCCGCTCCATAAGTCCTTCCGCGAGTTTGGAGTGCCATCTGCACTCGCCCCCTAGCGTCCGGTGAAGCTGTAAAGGCCAGCTGCGGCCAACAGCATTAGAGTAGTCCGAAAAAAAAATCCTACGTGGTTGAAAGAGAGAAAGAAAGAAAAATATTTTATTCAGTGCAATGTAAAAAATACAATATAAACAACAAACGAAAAAAAAAGAGCAAATAAAATCACTCATGCATAAACGAAACATATCCTTTGAATATACATACAATCTACACTGAGACATTCTATTCTGAGGAGATAAAAACCATCGCTCCTAAGAATATCCCTTAAGTTTTGTTTTGTTAGAGCAGACGAGTGCACCATTCCATTATCATCCATAAGAAAAATAAAAATACAAAATTCCATCTAGCACTAATGTATTTAAATAAAAACTTGGAAATTATATTTATTTCAATCACGGCGTACGGATATAAAGTCGGGGTTTACATAATTCTTCGAATAGGCATTGTTATTACAATGCTTCATAACTATGTCGGATGTTTATAAACAATATATTATATTTTTATAAATAAATAAATAAATAAATAAATAAATAAATAAATAAATATATAGTTACAAATAAAGTATAACTAAACAAATGGATTTATTAATAATTTGTAATTCATAATGTGTAAATAATGGGGACTAGAGACCCCGTTGCTAGCAATATATTATATCAATTTATAAATCTACACATCCTATGTGATTGTATAAACGTAATATTTCCTTTGGAAAGTTTACACTCTATCCTGAGGAGATAAAAACCATCGCTTTTAAGAATATCCTTCAATTCTTGTCCCTAACTAGGTAGCGAACTCTGTAAAACGGCGAGCACAATAGATTTATGTAGGTCGCAGTGATACAGGTCCAAGCAACTGACAATAGCCCAAACCCCCCAATAAAGAAAAACAATTCCAGCTATCATGTCCCTCTTGAAAAAGAGTTACTTCTATCCACCGCCTGAGCCCAGCCAGTGTATACAGATAATGCACAATTCTACTATTGCATAGATTTTAACAAAATCACTGGTCTAATGGTTGAGGTTGGTGGGGAAGGGGATTGTTAGCAATGTGGATTAATAACACTATTGCTAGCAAAGTACCATGTCAGGTTGACACATGTTTCCCCTGGAAACCATCATGTTAAACTCCTCGTGAATTTGCCACAATGGGCTAACTGAGCTAACTTCATGTTCGTCTTATCATCCTCCACTGGTGCCCCGTCTGTATATACCGATAGTGCATGCGGGTGCACTATTCCATTATCATTATTATAAAAAGTAAATGCTGAGGATTTGTTACTAAAAATTTTGAGATGAATACATACCCATGTGTGGGAGATCCAGATGAGAGTTTCCGAGGTGAGTCTGGGCCCAATGAGTGGGTTCATCTGCGCCATATACGCACACAGCCAGCTGTCGATATTAAAACAGACAAATTAGATATAATAGAAATAATGGGCCATAAGTCAGCAACAGGGTAAGGTAAAGGGCCATATTATGAAACACCTTTTGAGTAGGAGTTGAATATTTTACATTATTTAAAAAAAAATAGAGTTGAAACATTGAATTTTTCTAAGTTAATAGTTTGCCTGATATCTACTGAAGTGATAATAATTATTATCAAGTGAGTTTTAGTTGAAAATGCTAATAAATTGAATAAAATAACAGACAAGTACATACGGCCGTATTTATGAAACAGTCTAAAGCAACACGTACGGGTGTTCCATCGGGAATGTCCCAAATTATGGAACTCAAAATGAACTGAAGTACTCGCATTAAAAACATTTTTCAGTTACTAATTTATTTATTCATAGTATCAAAAGTTTTATTACTAATTATTAATACAGTTAGATTTAAAAATTATACGAATTAACAAGCAATAAATAAATATTCACTTACAAAGTAAGTATGACAAGAACAGTTTCAAATCTTAGGATTAATAAACAAGATATAAAAACCAAATATACATTAAATTAAACCAAAAATTCAACTATTTCATTTCTTCTTTGATCCGTTGTAGTAATGCGTTCTCTGGTAGCTTTTTCCGTTCATCAGCTATCACTTTTTTCTCATTTAGTAATTGTTTTCTTTTATGTAGCTTTGCTTCTTTAGTTTTACGATCAGTTTCTTTTTATGAGTCATATTGCATTCATTGATCAGATGTGCCAGCAGAAGGTAGTTTGAGTTTACCTGATGACTCAACTTTAATCCATTTTTTCTTGACTTCAAATTCAACTCAAATATTAATTCATCACCAACATTACGCTTCAAAATATTAGTTAAATTTAGTCAATTTAAATTACTACTTTCATTAATACCAGAATGAGCTTCAGTAACCATATCTAAAGGTTCATTTTATACTATAATTTCATACAGTAATTACCTCAGGAATGGCTGCTTTGTTGAGACTGGGTACTGGTATTTATCAGAGGAGAATATTTATTAGAAGAATGACAATCATTGTTAAGTGTCATGTAATAATTAGTTTTATCATTCGACTTGATTATTAATCAAATTATTTTCTTACTGTTCTGTTCTTTCTCTAATAATTAAAATTTACCAACGTCACTTCTTGGACAGTTAGTTTATTTATTTCATGAAAACCAACCAATATCAAATTATAAAAATTATACCAAACAATTAAAAATTAAAATACCAATATAAAATAAGTCTATAGAATAAAGAAATCAAATTCTATAAAAAAAATGTATCTATCTACCTACAAAAATTATTAATTTAAAAACATCTATAAAAATGTGATATGTAGGTGCTTCGTAAAAATTTTGAATAAAATAAAGTGTTATTAATTTTTTCAGGCAGGTTTTCCACTTAAGTATTTTTAATTAACATAAAACAATATTTATCATCCAGCTTATTTATTTTTGAGGTTAGTTTTTCATTTTCATGGAATTTTACAATCTATGTACTTATATAAATGCAAATTTTTAGAAATATAAACTGTTCTAACGTAAATTGCTTTGTTATAATTAATTAACAATGATTGACACGAAATTAACTAAATATTGTCCACTTATTGCTGTTTCATAATTACGGACAACTTAGAAAATCGAATGTGAGGGGGATGTGGAACACTGAATATACTGTTCCATAAATACGGTCTGTTTAGAAATTTTTGCGGCAATTATGAAACACCTAAATAAAAAAATAAATACCTTATTAAAGTACTTTAAATTCATTATCAATCAATAGATTATAAGTCAAACTTTTGATTGACATGTTTCAAGTATTTTTGAATCATTGACAAATATTTCAAATTGTTAAAACAATTGTGATGACACGTGTCATTCTCTAACTCTAAAAGACAGTCTTTTTTCATGCAACCTGACACGGGCATTTCATCTATTTTTTTTTCTATACATTTTAAGGTATTTACCAAAATAAATTAATTTAATCAATAAATAGGTTATTAAAGATCATAAAGATAATATTATAAATACTGAATACGTTAGAAATTATTTGTAATTCAGATTTTTATTACTTGTTTCATAAACTAGTACAATGTTCCATAATATGGCCCTTTACCTTAATATGTTTTTAATTTTTTTTATTCTAATTTTGTTATTTTATTTCCACTCATGTGGGCCTACTTTATTTTTAAAAATACTCTCTTTCCTAAAGTTGTCTGGAAGAGATTCCGTCACCGATAAGACTGCCTTCTGTACCATCTTCTATCTTTAATCTACTGTTATATATTTTTTTTTTATGTATCTACTTTTAATATTGGCGCAATAAAGAATTATAAATAAAAATAAATAATTATGTGATATTTCAAAAAAAAAGTAAACTTCTATATTTGTTAAGGTAGTTGTATTATGAAGCTTTGTGAATATCAGCTGCAATTCCAAGGGTGGGTTGAAAAACAAGAAACTCACAAACTTTTTTCAAAGTTCCTAAATAAGAACAGTTATAACACACAGGGTCTATTTTAAAAACATTTCTTTTTAGCAATCATAAAGATATCCATTTAACTGTTTTAGAAGTTTTTGAGTGTGAATAAATGATTGACTAAATTACGTCCTGGCTCGAGTACTTTAAAAAAATTATATCTGTATAATATACTACGGTTACAGGTTGGTAGGTTGGTATACAGGGCTAACATAGCATTCTAATGGTGACAGATCTTGTTATCAGTCCTGTCTGTAAGTAGTTTTTGAAGATGTTATTTTTTATTTTTTGATACTTTATTGAATTTTGTACAATAGTTGGTCTTAATGGTTTTATCATAAATTAATTAGATATAAATATAATATATAAATTATTCCTTGTTGTTTGTGACATACAAAACGTTCCTCTTTAAAATAGTTTATTATTACACAGTGTATTCCACAGGCAGTTAAAAATTTGTATTTTTTGCTTTTCTCATATAAGTATCCTTAAAAAGATAGCAGATATTATTATGTAAATAAATATTTTTTATAAATAATTAGAATGGCATACAAGGTGACAGCCCACCTGATGGTAAGTGGTAACCGTCGTCTATATATATGTGAACAGTACTATGGACATTATCATGTGACTACTGTGATACAAATGTGTTGCCATTCCAGAACAGTTCATGCCTCTTATGATGTAATGTCAGTGTTCTGATCTCTGAACAACACTAAGCTTACAATCTTCTTGTATTGTTGTACTTTATAAAACAGTTCAAAATATCTATTGCAATAATAATGAATGAAGATTCAAATAGTAACCTACACTTTAGGTTTATACCTATATAATATGAACAGTTAAATAAGGAACAGTGTGTAGCCTTAGTTCAGGCCAAAACTAAATACTATACGTTATACTAACATTAAGAATTCTTAAAAAAATACAAGAAATTGGGGACTTGTGATTGTGAGTCATAGCAGTTCATTAATATATATTTTATAGAATATTTAATAAAAGATACTCACAATAACCAACACGTAGCTGCAGTTAACATTAACACCACTTGGGTAATCCTGAAAAATATCAATAAATAATATGTTTAAATAGAGAAAACAGACCTTTAATTAAAAAGGAATTGTGACAGACACTTACCCCCTATTTGGGCCTTTAGGAGCGAAGAAAGGGCATACTATACCAACTATGCCCCATAATACGGTGAAAATAGTGATGGGAACAAATGATGCACCCATTTTAGAGGAATATCAATGATATTTTTAAGATTTCAAAATCTCAAACAAACATCAGCTGCCCCAAAATGGAGGATGTTTTTGTTCTCGATGTTGGTAGTGCTGCCGTTCAGTCATATGACAAGTAGCGTTTTATTAATTCATTTTTTGCGTCGTCTTAGAAAGCATGTTGTCTAGATTCATTAAGAAATTTGTCATATATGCTTTAACAGAGACTAGCATTTTAGTGGAAAAATCATATCAGTCTATAAAGTTCTAAAATATTTATCGTAAGATAATGATTCTTATTTCTTCTTAATAAATTCCTGACATCAACAACGTTTTTCTTATGACAACACTGATTACAAAAATAGAAAGATAAGCTAGCTGTAAGCTGAACTGCAAAAGACGGTATTTAAAATGTCTTTCGGACAAGTCAAAATTCTAATTTAATTTATTAAATCGATTTTTAAAAGTCAATTATTTACTAGGTCAAAATAATATGCGATCATCGCGTTACTTAAATAGACGAAAGAAGAGAGACAGGCGTAAAATTTATAAAGAAATTAAGAATAAAAAATCTAGGAGAACTTTTAATTTTGGGGCATCTGATGACATTTCTGAGTTGGACCTTGAAAATATTAATGAAATACTTCGTGTTCATGTCAGTGACAAGTGACCCCATTCACAAACATAGGGTTCACCCCTGAAAGGGTTGAAATTATATTAAATATGTACGTTAATTTTAAACTTGTAGAAAAACCAACGCGCTAATGGAAAGGGTGTTTGGAAAGTAGTACCAAAGGACTCGTGCGAAGTATACAGGGAGAGACAGCGGCGACAGATAGAGAGTGAACGAAGAGAGAGAACTTCTGAAGAAGACGAAGAAGATGCTAATACGCGGAAAGCTAAAAGGAAATCGCGTCGACGAAACAACTCGAAAAGAAAGGAATTTGTAAAGAAACCGCAACAAAGACATACGATTAAGCGGCGGTAAATATTTTTGGAGAGGTCATCTAGCCTGTGCTTATGGTATAAGCTATTTTTTATTTCGAACTAGCTACTTACTGTAATGTGGGGCGTAACTTGCCAACTACAGCTTCGCCGGAAGAGAATTGGTGCGCATGCATAAGACACTCTAAACTTGCTCTAGGTGTTATGGAGCGACTGAAGGCCACCTTTTTACTGACGAATATGACTTAAGATCTCCGTCTATCTAGGAACCTTTTCTTAATAGTCTAGGAGACAAGCGAGCTTGCGGCTCATCTGATGGCAAGTGATTACTGTTGCCCGCTCGCAACACCAAAGGAATTATAAGTGTCACCTGCCTTTTAAGGAAAAATATATTTTTTTAAATGTCTCAATATCATATCGAATCGGAAATACCGTTGGCGGAAGATTCCACAATGTGGTTGTGCGTGGCAAAATTTCTGGATAAAAGCACGGTGGAAGACCGCCATTCATCTAGATCATCTATAAAGCGAACCTCGACACAAGCCGTCATATTCGATACCGTTCAAATGATACAGGTGTTCGATCAGAGATGTGGTGTAGATACGGTGATGGGGCATCAGTGAAACATCTGCGCAGGGTACCATAAATAATTTACTAAACGCTACTTATTTATTGTTATTTCAGAAAAAAGAGGAATTCATCATTGTCATCATATTCTACGGCTACTGTATCCACGTCCACCACGTGCACTACCTTCACAGAAATGGACTACGATTAACCTTCTTTTACTTGTCTTGTTTCATCTTTCATCAAATTACCACAATGTTTATTAAACACTGAACCGTATCGTTTATATTTCTTTATTTCATAATATTCGCAACATTTTAAACACGGGACATTTCCCGTTACATTTATTAATATATACATATACGTGGAAGTTTGAAAGTTGCGCCGGTTATAGAAAAGTTACGAGGTAACAGATTGAGCTGGTATGGGCATGTTATGCGGAGGAACGAGGATCATGTTTTATTGAAAGTGTATAATATGAATGTAGATGGATGTAAAGGGAGGGGACGCCCTAAGAAAAGATGGATAGATTGTGTGAAAGATGATATGAATAAAAGAAGAGTATGTTCAGATATGACGACCGATAGAGAGCAGTGGAAGAGAATGACATACTGCGCCGACGCCAAATAATGGGATAAAGGCAAGGCAATGATGATGATGATTTCCCATTACATTTATTGGATAGGTAAATCGTCGTACAGCCTCTGTAGCAGTTTGGCACACAACCTTACTTCCCATAGTGGCTAATTTGATTATCACACGATAAAAAGATTTGATGAGTATTATTGCTTGTAAGTATGGATGTATTTTAAAATATTTCTGTCAATTATTTAGTATCCATAATACCACCTCTGAGTTTATATGGTGTATTATAATTTGTTCTGATTAAAAATCGTACCATCAGATCTTATCTGTGATTTTAATATTTTGTAACAATATCCGTACCATCAGACGAAACTTATTCTTTCTTAGTATTATTATTTTGTAACAATATTAAGATTTTTACTTTTTATTTATATCTACTAATGGTCAATATTATAAACTTAGTAGACTAACATACATATGTAATAATAATATAAATTAAAATCGTCTCTGGTCACGGCACTGACGACGGCAATCTGCCACGGTAGCGCCGATACACCACCCCCTTCGGTCAGTAGTCCACCGTCATGAAGGTGAGTGGTCCATTTTATGCTTTCTAAATAATTTTATTATGCAAGAGAAAACTAGTTTCATAATTCTCTAAATTGAGACTTCTTTCTTTAACTCATAAAATACAAAACCAAAATAGCATAGAGTAAAGTAAAGTAAAGAAAATTATATTTGTCACTGCTAAAATGTAATTGTATACAACAAAATTGTAAAGTGTTATTTTATTAAAATTTTTATAAATAAATATTAAATAAGCAATATGACACTGCTGCACTGATGTCTAAAGTCACGAATGTAGATGAAAATGCAGTTATCACCTGGCTAGCGATCTGTTCTGTATATACAACCCTTCTGGTTATTACAGCAATGGCAGTTATATTTATTGTGTAAGTAAATATATGGCAAAATCCTTTTAATTATCTTATATAATAATTAATAATACCCCTGCATAATCCACATAACTTCCAATGTAATCCCCAGGCAAGTAGAGATTAAGTTGTCACTACTAGACAACTTATACAAATATTTAGATAATTTTTTGTAAATACATTAGAAAACGCCCATACCGATACAAACAATAATACAAATACAAATGTTTGAACCGTGCGAGCAATCAACACCGCGATCATTGGAAGTGCTGTGCTAAACTGCTAGACCACCGACGCCGTAGCATTACGTCTTAATTACTTTTAATTTATTAATATTATTATACAGACAACAAATACAATAGTATTCTCATAATACAGTCTTCGAAAGAACTGACTACAATCTCATTATAAAATAGTATTCGATTCTTACTGATCCGATTAATGAAATAGATTTTTCTGTATATTTATTTGTTTGGCACCATCGTGGTATAAAAACCCACATATATTTCAAGTGTTCTAGGTATATATAAAAATTGAAAATGTGTAATGTATTTTTCAATATATAAATATTTAATAAAATTATGAACGTTTTCAGCACCATTTTTGGAATAATTTAATTACCTATCGTAGTATAAAATATTAATTTCATAAATATTTTTAATATACTGTTTCTTAACCTAAATGCTGCGCAATCGTTTAGCTTTATTAGAGTAACTTTGTAAGTTTTACGTAAAGAAAATAATTGAATAAATTACTATTTATTTTAAACTCTCTTCTCTTCTTTATTTATTTTATACAATCAAGTTCAAACTTAATCGTTTATTTATTTTTAATTGTGGCAACACAGAAATTAAAAATGTATCGTTTAAAAACTTGTAGTCAATGTCAAATTTGAATACGACCGTCCGTTTGGATTTGTTTGTTGATTTGATTTCTATTTGTTTTTATTACGACTTTAATGTATTTACATGAATAATAATAAATTAATATAATGTTGTGAACTCGTGACAGCTTAAAATACAATAGGTTTAAACTTAGTTGTATAATTTCTTGACAAACATGGATGATACCCAACAAAGTAAAACGTCTGAAGCAGCGGCTACGTAAGTATTTGATATCTGTTAAAAATAAAGCTATTATATACTGACTTACTTCATAAAAATACTAGGTATTTCCCACCACCATTTTTGTGCTTTTTAAAGAGTTATAGAGGTATATTCATTTCAACTTTCATTAACATGAGTTTAGTTATTAAAAGATCATAAAACTTTAACGAATAAACAGCCACATATTTTCTTATTTGCCTCCTGAATCACTATCTATTATTACAAACTGCATAAAAATAAAAGAATAGCACATTCTTATTACGGAATATAGAACCAGTACTATCAGTGGTATCAGTAGTTATATTATACCAGTATTTTTGGCATTTATTTACCTATAGGATCCAGTACAGTTCAGTTCTTTAATACAATAATAAATACCTAGAAGTCTAGAAGGCAAAAGAAGAGCATTATGATTGACAAAAATTACATGCCTAAGCACATTTTTTAGCAAATATAAAAGAAACATTCAGACAAACACTAATGAAATGTGAAATTGACTTGAAGAATTATTACATCGTCTATTGATGCATGGTTTGCTAACAATTAGTTGTGTGGTCTCCTAAAATATGGTTGAGCATAGTGATGGCTAGCTCACACATTATACTTATGTATGAGCACTGCTTGTACGGACTAGTCTGTTCTGATAAATATGACTAATTTTGATGATCAACTATGACTAAATTTTATTACTTTTGTCTAAATTTTTATTATTTGAGTAGCTGTTTATTACTAGTTGTAGTGGTAGCAGTTATATTTATTTACTTTTGTCCAACTTGCTATTTGGCAGTTTGTATTCAAACAAAATCCAAATATGTGATGCTGAACAACATTTATTTAAAAGAGTAACACACAAGTCTCTTGCTACTAGCTATGAGTCTGTTTACCTGCTTGTGAATGAGTAGTATATAGAATAATATGTTAGGTTTATTTGAATTTCAGTTATTTCTACTACTAATCTTTTTTTTTATTTACTTAGAATCACCAATCTAATCTAATATGATCTAAATGCACAATTATTTATAGGTGAAATAATATACAAAAGTTATATAAAAACAGTCATAATATTAGTCTGACAATAGCTGTATTATTGTACTAGCTGTTCCCGTGGTTTCACCCGCATGAAATTTATAGCCTATGTGTTATTCTGATGTAGATAGCTAGCCTAGCCTTTTTTTTTTTTTTTTTTTTAACGTGTGGAAAATCTTCAAAAGACCGTCACCTCGCCGGAGGGATGGCGAGGTGGTGTGTGAGACTTGACTCACTAAAAACCACACGGTGTACCTACGAGCGCCTATGCCGGAGCCAGGGGATTCGCAAGTGCATTCTACCCCAGCTCCGACGGCGACGGCCCGCCCTGTAGATGTTGTAGGGCAGGCCCCATCTCGTTTAGTGGTTAGGGCGACCTATTTCGCCCTACTCCATTGTGGAGGCGTGTGGGTACACGCGCACACCTCCGGGGCCTTTGGATTGGGGGGACTGCCTCCCTCAAGGCAGTCACCCCGGCCCCAGAGCTAGCCTAGCCTAGCCTAGCCTAGCCTAGCCTAGCCTAGCTATGTTATAGTAAAGTTTAATTAAAATCCATTTAGTAGTTTTTGCCTGCCTTTATTGAAAGAGTAACAAACATCCATACATACTCACAAACTTTTACATTTAGAATATTAATAAGATTGTCTATTCTCGTCATCCTTCAGTGATGCCTCATGATATAACATACTAGCTACATTTAAGCATACATAGGGACAGACAGACAGTGTTAGCGGCTTTGTTTTATACTATGTAATGAAGTGCAGCTGTATCCTGAAACATAAAAGAAAGGGAGTTAAAAAAGGTTGCTGCGCCATATGTAATACAACCCAGTAACCACAAGTCTTCGGTAAACCAGGGATCATGTATTTAGACAGGAAGGGACCATTAAGATACCATTAAGATAATCATTATATAGAGGTAGCTTGTGCAGATTATGAATATATAATAATATACTATTATGAATGGACCATTTAAAATGGATTCGAACATGGCATATATTAAGATGCAAAATGAACAATTGGAGCACACAAGTGACTCTTTGGTATCCTGTAGACGGAAACAGAAGACGGGCATAAAGGAACACAACGGAAATACTACATGCACCAGGCTCCATGACTGCTTTGAAATAGGGTTGGGGAGAACAGTGCTGAAGAAGGCCTGTGTCATAAGGCTGGCTGAGTTGTGAGATATTTTGTTAATTACAGGAGTGTAGAGTAAAACAATGAGAGGCTAAGGTGGGCCATAGTCTAGACCTTGAGAAAGGTGGAAATAATGCGGAAAAAGGGTTCTAAGAGGTTGAAAGTGAAGATGAAAGGTTGAATGGAAGTATCGTCATTCTTAAAGCTAGAACTTATTTGAACTTTTATGTCAAGGTCATTATTCCACGATGACGAAGTCGCGGGCACAGCTAGTATTTAATATAGAAATGTTTTGATATACAGAAGGAAGAGGCGTTCGTCCATTTTGAAGAGTCACCGTCCGCCTCGTACTCCCTTCACAGAGCTGGAGTTCAACGTCGCCACGCCTACAGACTCCGCAAAGAGCCGCCGCGTCAGCTTCTCACGGCGTACCGGAGTCGCGTGAGTTTTTTATTTTTTTTGTAAACTAGGATAGTGGCAAACAAGCACACGGCACATCTGATGGACGTTAACCATTTGTTAACGTAGACGGATGCCTAGCACCAGGGGCGTCACGTGCGCGTTGCCCATCCTTAAGAAACCTTAATGTACCTTTCTTGAAAAATCGCATACTGTGGTCTCGTGAAAAAAGCAGTGGAGCAGAATATTGCGGTTCTGCCCTAAACACCGCTTTCCCGAGTAGCAATGAAACCCCAAATTTTTTTTTTTATTTTAAAATATTTTTTTTTTAATCAGTATAATGTCTGAGATTTTTTGTGTTACATTTGAATAATGTTCTAATTTCTATTTCCCCAGTGAATTTGTTACTAACGAAGCGACAACAACATGGAAAAACTTTTACGAAGAACACAATAAATCTTTAGAATCATCAGGCAATGACTCCAAAGCCCACGCACCTCGTCCACCCATCGGACACATAGGGAAACGTATTTTCGATCAACAATTCGAAGAGGTGGACGCTGTAGATTTCCTGACGTCTCTCGACACGCTCACCAATAAAAATATTTCCTCCACAATTAACAACGCTAATTTCACAGAACAATTATCGTCATTGGAAAGTTCTGATAATAAATTACCGATTCCGAATAATAATTTCGAATTAAGTGCATTTACAGAGCATCATAGCAAGGTATTTGGTGACGACCTTGTTATACCCACTATGGGTGAAATGTCAGGTAAAATTGATGTTAATTTTTCAACAGTACAAACAATTGGTGGCGATGAGAAAGATGATTTAGACGAAATACAAAGAGATTTACAGAAGAATAATAAAAATATAATTGTAGGTCCGCAGTGTTTTAAGGGTGATAGAGATATGTCGGAGTATATAGAAGTAGATTTAAACATGACGCATGTCAATCTGAGGAATGAAGAGTCTGATATGTCAATTACGGATACGATTCGCTGTCCAAAAGTTCAGGACGTATCAAAATCTGGTAATTCGAGCCAGATTGATGTCAAGACGAGTTTTAGTAATAAGGATTGGCTTTCTGATAAAGAAAATATTGCAATTAATCCTTATATCACTCCAAAGGAATCTCTGAATTTTGCTATCAATGATGAATCAGATAAAGTTCTAGTCTTTGATGGAAAACGACTGACTATACAATCGGATAAAGAAGCGGATGATGTTCTGAGTACTAAAGAAAGAAGTAGTCACGGCTCATCGGATAAGGCGAAAAGGAAGACAGTGGTCATTAATGTAAATGATGATTTGCCAAATTTCGGAGATGTATCCTCTTATTCAGTTCCTAAAACTAATGTTAGCCAGTACAGTATGCTACTTGATGACGATGATTTATCTCTGACACAGGGCAATAATGTTACCACATCAGAGAAAAGAAAAACTATTCTTTACGAAGAAAATGCCGGTAATATATCAGTTACCCAAGTTGTACCCTCGAATATTATAATAACAGAAAAAAATAATTCTGATAGAAGAAGAACTGTTGTCTATGAAAATGATACTGGAAACATATCTATCACTCAAGCAATTTCTTCAAATATCATCTTAGCTACTAAAAAAGAAGCTACGAAAAAACGAAGAACAATTGTTTATGAAAATGATACAGGCAATATTTCAATAACACAGGCTTTGCCGTCAAATATTATGTCACAATATGCGCCAGACAAACGAAAAACTATTATTTACGAGAATGATTTAGGAAATATTTCAATGACTCAAGCAATTCCTACTAATATATTAGCAAGTAATATAGATAAAAATAAAACTTTAAATTATGATAATCTTACATGTGATATTTCTATGACACAAGGAGTACCCTCAAATCTTTTATTGGCCACAAAAGCTGAGGAAAGGCGAAGGACAGTTATTTTTGAAAGTGAAACCGGTAACATTTCTGTAACTCAGGCCATTCCTTCAAATGTTATACTGACAAATAACACTGAGTCAGAAAAAATGCAAGCTGTAATGTATTCCGACGACATAGCAGATATTTCTTTAACACAACCTATTTCAGACAAGGTTACTTTACCAAAGACTAAAGTAAATGAGAAAAGAAGAACTGTTATCTATGAAAATGACACGGGAAATATATCAGTTACCCAGGCAGTGCCTTCTAATATAATATTAAATCAAAGAAAAACAATTGTAGAAGAAGTAATAAAAACACATCAAGTAGATGTAAGTGAAAAGCTTATAATAAACGATGATGATCTTTCTAAACAGTCTTCATTTATTAAAGATAAAAGGACTATTGTATTTGAGAATGATGAAAGCGATATATCTATGACTCAAACAATCTCTACAAAGTTGCAATCTCCAACATTAATATTTGAAAATAAAAAACCAATTAGTTACATAGAAAAGGATGTCACGTCTCAATTACATTCAATACCAACCAAAATAGAATCAACTAATAAAAGAAGAACTATTGTCTATGAAAATGATACGGGAAATATATCCGTTACACAAGCTGTACCTACAAATATCCTTTTATTGAATATTCAGGAAACTAAAAATAATGAAGCCATTGTCCATGATAACAATCCACATAATATATTTATTGTACAACATAATTATAATAATCTTTTGTCTGAAGAGGAAAATGAAAAATTAAAGAAACAAAACGAGATGTCCGATAACGATAAAGAGCAGCAAGATAGTAACCAACAAGTAGTAATTGAAGGAGATAGTTTTAATGCCGATATGTCAATTACTACAGTAGTACCACATAAATTTACAGATAATTCGGCTACAACATTGGAGAAAACAAAAATAAATGTATTTGTCGATGAAACTCCTAATTTGTCAATGACTCAATCAGTATCTCCAAAATTAATAGACAATCAAAACGAAATTTTAGATCCCTCTAAGAGTATGAAAAATGATGAGAAAATGGAAATAAATCATGCAAATGTGGATGTTTTTATATATCAAGCAATCTCACACACAGACAGTGCTCCAAAGCTACAGACAGGAACTGAAGAAGGAGATTCAAAACTAGAGGAATCAGCTTCTGTAATCAATAACTACGACAAAACTATGTATTCATATATGAAACTAGAAAATGCCAACGATCAATTAGAAGGTACAGAACCTACTATTAAATGTAAAGACAAAATAGATGAAGTAGTCACGCAAAATATCGCAGATGTTCAAGTTATGAAAACTAAAGATATTGAGGAAACGCATGAAGCACCGTTGTCATCAACATTATGCGTGGAATCTCAAACACAGTCTGCTAATGGAGTGGCACAAACTGATGAACCTGTAACAAAGTCTATTCTCACGGATCTCTTAGATATGTCTGATGCGTCCATGGAATCTAGAACTAAGGATCAAAACTCTATGACTGAGAAACTATCTATAGATAGGGCAATAAAAGATGAAACAGAAAGTTCGTCAAGCGATATTTTCTTTATAATAAAAGACGATGAACAAGGATCTCAAACAGATAAAATAATAAATGACTGTTCAAATCTGTCGACTGTATCTCGGTCGGACGTTGCAAGTGTGAAGAGTCCAGATATAGTGAGTTCATTTACAAGCAGTAAGAATCATATGGATGTGTGTGTGAGGGAGCAGGATAGTGTAACGACGACATCGAGCAATGCTGAGACGGTGTCAAGCGACCAGAGGGAGTACCAATCGCTGTGGCGACCGGAAGTTCCATACGAGTCGAGCGGCGATGTAAACGAATGTGATTCAAGTGTTAATGTGGTTGCCAAGATCAATATGCTGCCGTTCATGGGGTAAGTTTTATTTTCAACCGACTTAAAAAAATAGGATTATAAATTCGTTTGTTTCTTTATGTTATCTTAGTTTTGCTAAATGAACCGATTTTGTATTTGAAAGCTGGTCCTTCTCGGGTCATAAATTTTATAAACACTTTTATGACGCTTGTCTATAGACTACGGTAACCATTTACAATCAGTTGGGCCGTATGCTTGTTTGCCACCATCATAGTATAAAAATAAAAAATAAATTACATGCCTAAAGAGGCAAAACATAATGGGACATTATATTCTACAATGACAACTAACCTATGTTTATCTATACATCTATACATATAAGTATAATTGGAGTGTCTGTTTGTAATATTGAAGTAACCGTAACGGAGTAACTTAGGGTACTGTTATTTTAGAAAAATTCTTCTATTATATTAGTAAGTTAAATTCCACGCGGAAGAAGTCGCGGGTACAGCTTATTGCAAATAAATTTTCTTTGATTTACAGTCAGGCATTCTAACGGCACTAGACCACCGAGAATGTCTCAAATATGGGGACAAAGTACATATAATTCACAAGCTACTCGCTCCGGCTCACGGATGTACATGTATTATAAACGTTCCTCTTGAATCACTCTATCTATTAAAAAAACCGCTTCAAAATCCGTTGCGTAGTTTTAAATATTTAAGCATATATAGGGACAGACAGCGACTTTATTTTATACTATGTAATGATTTAAAATGTCTTTTGTAGGAGCCACGAGTGTGAATGGGACGCGTCTGGTACTGACATATGGTCGTTCCGACTGATGCACGGCCGACTGCGGCTGACCGTCCGCCTCGAGCATCGTCACCACAATTCTACCCGCACCTGGGTCAGAGCGGACACGCCCGTCATCAGCACCTCAGTGGAGACCACAAACCATGCAAATGGTAAGTTTATTTACACCTTCTAATTACAACTAGCTGTGACCCGTACCTATGGCTGCCTTTTTTACCTAATTTCAGTAATGTATGAAGCGTGTAATACATTTTGAGGAAGTAAATACATAAGATCCGTTTAGACGGTCTCGTTGGTCTAATTAACGCTTTAGCACACCGCCTTACTTTCGATTCCTCCTCGTATAATATAATAGAATATCTATGTTAATAAATATGTTATTGGTCTTTTTTAAGGGCGCCTAGTGGTCGAAATTCGACCATAATTAAGTTAAATTGTAAGTTTGAACATTATTAAGGTTCTATGTTCTAGTCAAAGACTATACTTGATGTAATGGCCCATGATTAAACTATTAAAAAGTTTGGTTTCGTCTTTCTATTTGTGCATTTTCTCGACTAAACGTCTTTTTTTTTATTTTGTGTTAATTGTTACACAGTCTCACGTTAGAGCAGAGCTTGTTTTATGGATACTAGAGAACTGATATAAATACTTAGATACATTTTTTTGTAAATACATAATATACATAGAAAACACCCAGATCGATATAAACAATCATATTCATGAATACAAATGTTCGTGCCGTGCGAGGAATCGAACCCGCGACCGTCGGCAGCGAGGCGGTGTGCTAAACCACTAGCACACAGTGGCCGTCGATAAAAAACGTTAATGTATACTTCTTCGTGTCCAGACTCGACCAACTCTGTGGCTCGGCTGTGCGTGGTATTCGCGGCTGAAGCGATGCGGTATACAGCCAGCGGGGGGTGCGGCCGCGCCGGCGAGGTCCCCGCGCTGGTCCGGAGATGTGCGGCAGCGGCGCGCGTGGCGCTCCGCTGGGGGCGAGCCATGCACCACGCGCGGCTGCGGCTCGCCTACACACTCTCCGACGACGGCTGCCTCGCGCTCAAGGTATGACGTGGCTACGATTTTATTTTGATGTATGATAATGGAATGGTCGTAAAAATAACGCCCAATTGGCATAGTACAAGAGAATAGTAGTAGAGAGGTCTGGACTCTCGCCCTTTACCATCCTCTTATCGCTTTTTTTATGTAATTTTAAATGCTTGTGATTCTACTCATGTAATATGTCGAATGAACCGGACCATCGGCGACGTTCTAAGAGGCTGCAGGTTTTTTACGGATGATTCTGTCCGTACGTCCAATTCAAACGGGCATCAAAATTACGACGGCCAAAGCCGAAGTTCGAACTCGTAGCGATGCCCTCAAACTAAAGTCGCGTCCGTCAGGAAGGAGTCGACCTTGAGCCGCTCCATAAGTCATTCTATGGGGTTTTTTTTAGGTATGATAATGAAATGGTACACCCGCCTGCGCTAGTGAATCCGCGGGTAGTTTTTAATAATCCCCGATCCACCAATGACCCAATACGTGATATTAGTGAAGTGACCGCACTTGACGTTACAGGTGGCGAACATCCCGATGCGGTGCGTGTGGGAAGTGCGCATGCGGCTGGAGCTGGTGGTGGACCGCGGCGGAAGGACCCCGTGGCCGCGAGCCGGCCAGCCGACCGTCAGCTGCGTGCTGTCGGGGGGGCAGCCGCCGCCCGAGCAACAGCTGCGGCGCCTGCTGCACGCGCTGGGGCCCGGCTGGGGACACGTGCCAACCGCCGTCTGGTGAGTGTGACACTACTCGTTACAGCTGGGGTCATATGCCCACCGCCGTCTGGTCAGTGTGACCCTACTCACTACAGCTGGGGACATTTGCCTACCGCCATCTGGTGAGTGTGACCCTACTCACAGCAGCTGTTCACAGCACTTAGTGCTAACTGTCGCTATATACATATATAACATATACATTACGGAATTAAGATTGCATCTGATTTTACTGTCTCATGTCAGCGAAACGCAGCTTAGAAAACAAGCTGTTCAGCAGCTGAAAAAGGTGAGACTGAAGTACCCATTAAAACGGCTTTATACATAGCTTCGGTAAAAAAGTAATATAACAATAATATTTGTTTCAGGAAAATCTTCAAATACCTCAAACACAAAACGTCGGACGACTATCTACTTGGAATATAACGACACGGCGTCTCCATATAATATATAAATATATTTATATATTCATAAGATTCATATGTTCCTTAGTTGCTATATAAATTTTTATTATGTAATTATGTTATAACAATTTTCAATTGTAACATTACAATTAAATTCTGACGGCCTCCGTGGTCTGGCGACTTAGCACAGCGGTCCCGGTGGTCCAGGTTCGATTCAAAGTGCAAACGTTGCATTAATGAATATGATTGTTTGTATAAGTCTGGGTGTTTTCTATATATAATATATACGTTTATAATAAAGTATAATAATAATAATCTCAGGACATTTCACACAGCGAGACTAGACCCAAGTTAAGCTAGCTGAAGCTTGTGTTATGAGTACTAGATAACAATAGATACAAATACATAGATATATACGAGAATGTTTATTTTTTTCGGTAATACGTACATAGAAATTTACATAGAAAACACCCAGACCGACACAAATAATCGTACTCATGAATACAAATGTTTTTGTCGTGCGAGGAAGCGAACTCGCGAGCATCGGAAATAAGGCGGTGTGCTAAACCACTAGACCACCGTCAATTTGGTTACAATAATCCAATGTTGGCCTTTACTGGCACTACGCGTTTCCATTTAGAATTAACGTCTATCAGTATTGTAAATTCTCACATTTTCGTGTTATCTTGTGTTTTTTCTGTCCCCACTTATTCAAATGTACAAAGTAGATAATTAAGTTAATGTAAGTTAAATATTCGATTCGATATTTGTGTAATATTGTTACAACATTTGTAGCATATATTGGCACTGTTAGCAAATATTGCAGTAAACATTTGCGACTGATTATTTATTTCTCCAAAAGAAATAAATTTCCTTTCTCTTTATGCATGATTGGTGTCGTGGGCGTCACGTAATGACGTAATATCCGTATTGTTTTTCATGTATTGTTATCACTTACCATCAGGTCACCTTGGCGTTTCGTTTCGTTTAATAATAATTGGTTCCCCTGAAAACCATCACGATAAATTCCTGGTGAATTTACGACAGCATGAGGTCAGGTACTGACCTCATGCTGTCTCATCTTATCATCCTCCACTGGTGCCCCGACAGAGTAAACCATTAGCACAGGCGGGTGCATCATTCCATTATCTTTAATTAGGTTGCTATAGATAAATTCCTGGTGAATTTGTAACATGGAAGTTACTTCCATGTTCATCTTATCATCCTCCCTGACAGCGTAAACCGTTAGCGCATACCATTCCAATATCTTCAACAAAAAAGAGGAAGATATCATATGATACGCTATTAATATGGCGCGGGAAGTGTTAAAAGAATTTGGAATAATAAGCGCCCTAACTAAGCAGAGCTTGTGTTGTGACCAGGTAACTGATATAAATTGTTAACTAGATTTTCTTGTAGATACACACATAATATACATTCATCCAAACAATACAAGCAAAAATATTCGTGAATTTTTGTATCGTGCGAGGAATCGAACTTGTGACCATCGGAAGAGTACCCAAGGCGTTGTAAGCTAAACCTTCGAAGTCAACTCAAATTCTAGGTCTCGATTCTGCTTCATGCGTTTTTTTTATTATAAGTGTATACGAAATATTGTAATATTTGATAAATATATTTTTTTGCGAACATAATGTGATGTTTATTATACTGTATATTTGCCCTAAGATATACTTTATAATTCATTATATTAAACTATAGTATTTTGATTTAGAGTGTCATCTGCACTCGCCCCCTATCGTCTGGTGAAGCTGTAAAGACCAGCTGCGGCAACAGCATTAGAGTAGTCCGAAAACACGTAGGAACGTAGAGAATATTTTAAAGAAAGTTTTATACATGAATGTGGATGGTTATAAGAGCAGAGGAAGGCCTAAATAGAGATGGATGGACTGTGTGAAAGATGATGTGGCAAGAAATTGAGTTAATAACGAGATAATTGTGGACAGAGCGGGTCTGCTCTAATCACTAGGACTGATTTACTCTCGTTTAGTTGCTCAACGAGTTGATTGTGTATTTAATATTTTCTGTATGTATTTTTTTTTATGTAACAAAACAGAAAAACTATAGTAACCTCCCGCTTACACTTGAATTGTAGAATGAACTACCTGTCAAAGTTTTACTAGAGACTACAGCGAGGTTTACTCGCGTAACTACAGCATGGGGTTTTTTAAGAAGAGTATATTAAGGTTTCGTAAGAATCAGCAACATTCAGATAACACCCCTGGTGTTTCAGACATCCATAACACTTTAAACGCCATTATAAAAATGACATTTTCTATTCGCGTGCTCTGCGAGGTCATGAGAGAGTATTGTTGTTGAGCGCCGCTCTGGTCATTCTAGTACTACAAATGTATGGAAAAATCACGCGCCGGTGCTCAACACATCTCTAAAGTGAGATCACGGGTGACCTACATGTTTAACGTGATAAGCAACTAACCGTTTACCATCAGATGAGCCGTATAGCTTATTTGTCAACGTCGTAGTATAAAAAAATCAGTTGATACAAATAATATTTATTAAATTTTATATTAGAAAAAATAACATATATACATTTTAAAAATTAGGTTCAAATTCGAGTCATATTCTAGTATTAGGTTGTCCGTACACCCATCGACGGCCGACGCGACGCCGCGCTGCTGTCAACTCGATGACCGGTTGAACACTGAGCGGTGAACCTAACTCTCGTATTGCCTCATACACATTACATGGGCGTATTATCTGAAAATATATACAAATAATTAGGTGTTACTCGCGACTTCGATTAAGTAGAATTAAACTTTATTCTTTAAATTAAAAAAAGAAAATTTCTAAAATTATAGTAGCCTAAGTTACAACATTAGCTATCTGTGAGTGAAAGTCTTGTCAAAATCAATCCAGCCGTTCCAAAGATTAGCAAGAGCATACCAACTAAAGTTTCAATATTTGATTGATGTAATACCATATATACTTTTATATGCATTTAGTTAAAAGTTGTTAACTAATAGATGAAAATACTGACACTTAAATTTATTTATTTATATACATAATATGTAATATCCCTGACAATTCACACAGCGTCATCTTGTGCCAAGCTTAACAGAGCTTGTGCTATTTGTATTAAACAACGGATACAAATATTTAAATACAGTTTTTGTTAACACAAACATAACATACCTACATATAGGAGGGAAGGGGATTTGTAATGTGTCCAGGGGAACCGTGGACGGTTTCCCCTGGAAACCATCATAATAAATTCCCGGTGAATTTGTGACCAGACTACATCCTCATTTTATCATCCTTCACTGGTGGTGACCAGCCAGCGTAAACCATTAGCGGAAGCAGGTGCACCATACCATTATCAACCTTAAGAATAATATACATAGAATACAACCAGACCGATACAATCATACTCTGGTGGCCTTCAGCTTTATTATCACACTTATTACTGCAGCATTCCATCACCATGCAGAGATGTGCAAACAACCTAGTTTACAAAACGTATTTAAATAGAAAATGCACGTGATTTACAAAATAGTCTATTAAAGCAAATTATTATTTTATCCAGCTAGTAATTTATATATTGTGCTTGCTCCTAAAGTTAGCCAGTATTTAAAAAAAACAATACTTTTCTTAAAAAGTATTAAATTAAAAAAAACATTATACTTTTCAAATTTTAAAAAGGTCACAATTATGTCATCCTGTATTAAAAATAGACCTAATGACAATAACTAAGCGAGTAAGTATACAAACTGCCAAAGACGACGTTTTTCAGATCAAACTGTGGCAGTGGCTTGAAGGTAATGCTGAAGACACCGCACACCTCGTCGTCGCGAGTAACTCGCATTGATAGTAGACCTGTAATATAAACATATAAGTTTTAATTAATCCGGAAGTTTGTCAGTGTCAGATGAATATTTGTTACTCTTTCACGCAAATACTACTGAATAGATTTTAAATATATCGAAGGTATACAAATAATAAAAATCAAAATGCATTTTCAACACAATTAGCGACCACCATTGCTGCAATGTCGACTTTAACAATAGCTTATATAAGGTATATTATCGCCGAGTTCTATAGGCTATAAATAACATTACGCTACGACTAATAGGGGCAGAGCAGCAATGAAAAATGTGGGAAAAAATATTAAATTTGAGAGGTTTCTAAGTAATTTTGAAGACGAATACGAACGTGGATGGTAAGGGCCGAGAAAAGCTGAAAGAAAGATGAATGGACTGTATGAAAGATGATAGGGCAAGAAAGGGAGTGAATATACATTTACAGTGTTAGGTACAAATGTTCGCCTTGGTAGGGAATAAAATATAATATAAAAAACTTAACGTTCATAACCGGCTAAAAAGTCCTACATGAATAAATGATTTTTGTTTTTTTTTAATTTCATATTCAGGAAAAAGGAAATTATAATTTGTAATCGTTTAAAATTAAATTACATAATATTAAATGTTAAGCCAATTCTCGCAAAGAGTAACAGCATTTTTTTGCGAACCATTGGTTTAGTTCTTATTTAAATTTATTTAATGGCATCTCTCGAATTAATTGTGATATTTTATTATATATGGCGATGATGATGATAACGGTGAAGGCGTTGTAAAGAAAATCATTCAGTATATACCTGGCATAGAGTGTGGGAAATGATAATTTTCAGCGCCAACAGGCATTGTGCGGCCGCGCTGCGCGTAGCAGCCATATCCGTTGTTGCAGATCACGTCACCACCTCTCCAGTAGAGATTCGGAACTTTCCTGTACAATAAGAATTATTTCTTTTTCTGTTCTAAATCTTTTTTCAGGCAGATTTAAAACAGACTGGTAGTTTCTTGTAAAACCTTACGCAATTACCATAAAACTCATTACTAACTTTAGTTAAACGACATTTAGGTAAATCCTGTTTAACTAAAATTAGGAAAATAGGTGAAATGAATTTCAAGTTATTAAAACAATCATATATTTGAATAAATTGATATTACATTAATGAATATTATAAAAAACAGAATAATCAATTAAAAAATAAAAACCAGGACGTAGTTTAGAAACTATTCAGGACGTCAATAGGATACAAAAACTAGGATATATCCTGAGAAAATAGGACGGTGGTCAACTCCTTTTACATGGATATATATTTTTTTTGTGTGTTTGAGTATCGCGGTAACTTAGCTAATAAAAATATTCTGCTAAAATGGAAAGGATTAAAAATGAGAAATATTTCTCAGAGACACTTAACTATTTAAAAATATATTTAAGAAGCCATTCTAATTATTTATTATTAAACAACTAACTGCTTGAACTCGATTTATTTGAAAGTATTAAAAAAATCATACAATTTCACAAAATAATATAAAAATCAATTCCTCTGCCTAGAGGTAGAAGGCGATGACGAAGAATTCTCCTGTCTTCTCTCTGAAAACTGATTAACAGCCAGGCAATACTTCTCCGAGTGATATGTTCTCGATATCTGGGAGAGAAGGGGACTTCCGTGAGGAGAATTGAGCCAGAGAGAAGCGCTTCCGGTTTGTCCAACCATAGCAATGAATGCCATAAGCATCCTCGTGTTTAACAAACCACGCTGAATCTGAGGCTGTTTGAGCAATGTTTGTAATATTAAGCCATCCGGTAAGCCGTTGATTAGCTCGAAAATGCTGGAACCACGTTCCCCAATCAACCATGAGGCAGCAGCAGGTACATTACAACCAGTGTAACGTAATGCTTTATCAGCCTCGTCGACGGAGAAACCTAAATCTTTGAGCGTAGTCACAGCTTCTGAATTAGGAGGATCAGATATCTTCGATCGCCATACTCGAAACTTCTCTAGAAACCTCTGTAAATGCCCTGCCCGTTTGTATAATTCTTGACCATCAGATTTCGTTTTGGATGACACCGTTTCTGAAGGAGTTTCTTCTACAATGTGTAGTTTGGAAGCGATTTCCTCGGGCGTTATTACTTGGATGACGGTTTGATGAGGTCGCTGCGGTTCGTCTAATGCTGCTGATAGTTGAGCTAAGGACATCTCATAGTTCCTCCCAGCGGCCGCTAGACGAGCCCCAGCTTCTATTAACGATATGAGAATTTTCCGTAGTTCGTGAGATAATTCGTTGGTTGACAATAAAGATTGGAGATTCGGTTGACGCATGGTGTTTTCCGGTGGTGGGAGAGATGCGGTAGCAGCAGCTATGGTCCCATGTTGAGGAGCTCTGACATTTCCAAGATCCCACAAAGTGCCAGCTTCAGGGATCCTTCTCTCGACCAATAGGAACTCTTCCTGCATCATCACTTGTTCTTGTAACAGTGTAAGAAAATCGTGTAACGTTGACGTGTCGAAAACACGCACGACCTTGAATCTGCCAGACCCGTTTTCTCCATTAGGGTAGAAGTAATCTAAGGCCCGATTCTTCACTTCCTCGATAAGAGTGTCTTCAGAGAAGTAAGCAGTGAATGTCTGACCTTCAGGACTGATGACTTTGATTAATATTTCGTTGCTGTGGTTGAAGCCAGAATCTGAGACTAGCATTCTCGGATTGTATATAGAAACAGTTACAATTAAAAAAAGTTATAAAATGTAGCTAAGCAAACAATTTGTTTAATCATAGTTTTGTGACATTTCATTGACATAGGTATGTATTTGTATTTTAGTTCAAGGAGTATTTAAATAAGGTTTTGTAATAATTTATTTGTCTACACAAATATTTAAATACAACCTTATAACTTGAATTTTTGGTGTATAGTTTCCTTACAGTTGACTCAAATTACATATTTTTACTACTGTCCTTACTAATAAAGAACATCCAGTTTCATTCCCTTATATTAGTTTGTATATGGAGAACATAGTGGCACAAGTATTCAATATTAATTTGTATTGAAATAACAAATGCAAAATTCGCTAGATTGCAGCCTATTAAATAACCAAATTCTACAATAATAGATATATACCCACGACTTCGTCCGCGTAACATAGTGACCTTAACCAAATAATAAAAAAATATTTGATGATTTTGATGACCTAACCCAATAAAAGCCAAATGAAAAAGTTTCTTCGTTTTAGCTTAAAAAATGACGATACAGAATTCCATACAATTCAATCAACAGTCTAAAATATAAGATGCAAGCAATCATAAATAATATATATTTTTTAAGTTTTAAATTATTACGAATTCTTACCATAATATGAGCCAGTCAGTTCCATCATACCTTATTCCTAATCTTATCTTCTATAATGATAAAAATAAAAAAATTGCTAGCGATATAAATCTACAATAAAATAAATCATTTTTTTAGATTTTTAGACCACTGAGGCCGTCAAAAGGCAACAAAAACAATATCAGTCAGAATTAACTATAGCAACGACTGACCTGAAGAAGCAGGTGCCTACGTAGCCGTGGCCGAGTCCATCCCCGTGCAGCAGAGTGAGGAATAGCTCACACGTGCGGGGGCACACCTCCGTGAAGAGTTCAACGGTCAGTTCACCGAGAGCAGCATAGTTGCGCATGCGCAGCGATAAATAAACCCTGAGAGAAGTATTTATTTTAAATATTAACTATTTATCGCACCAGAAGTAGAGACAAACTTCTTATCATTCCATGTATTTACCTTGCATGTACAGGATCTACAGTGAGGCACACTATAGATGCTGTATGCATGACCGAAACTCCAAGCGATTCCCGGAATTGTGGCCCGGGTGTAGATTGAAGGGATCCTGACGACAACACTCATGTTCACTGCTTGTGTTTCTCTCCCTGTCCAGACAAATCTGGTAGGAGCCTGTGAGTGAAGCTTTAGATACGCATTCTAGTATAGAATCCACTGTAGTTTTAAATAAGCCAAGATTTTTTATAGACATTTTGCTGATATACCTCTCGCTCTCACTTCGACCGCATATAAACTAACTACATAACCTTTTATCTATAGATTACAAAGAATATAAATTAGAGTAATAAGGTATATATTTTATAATACTAAAATCTATTAATTAAAGAGTAGTTTAAAGACTTATTATGAAAAACATCTTACTTTCTCTATGCTTAACTACTAATGTCGCAACTCTTGCTTCTCTCTCCGCACCTCACCTTATTCCCGTATTGCATCATTTGCTCTCTTTCACACCATCTATTTCACCTTCTATTTCATTTCCACCATATTCCATTACACCATCTTTCAATCCTTGTGATGTATATTAAAAATATTGTATAGGTTTGTCTATATTACAATAGACAAGTAATTTGTCTATGGTAAAAATAAAGGATAGCTATGGAAGAACCAGTAAATGGGGGTTTTGTAAAACAATTAAAATGGTGTATTTTTTTTAGAAATATAAAAGGCTATTTGATTTTGAAATTGTATTTTATTCACAGGTGTCACGGACGGCCCGGACACTACACCTTGTTTGCATTCTCCCACTCTACATACATGCGAACCCGCAACCATCGGATGGCGCTTTTTTTTGGACGACTAGTGTTGTTTGTCGCAGCTGGCTTTTTATTTACAGCTTCGATCCCTATGTGAATTGGACGGAGCATCGATCGGAGGGGCAGTAAGGTGGTGTGCTGAAACTGCTAGATTATCCAGACCATCAAATTATACCTAGTAGTGATATATGTTTTTTTAATATTCAATGTTACACCGCGCTAGGCTTTCCTAATAGTTTTATTACAGGTACTTTTACAGAACAAAAATATTTCTACCGTGGTCGTTTTATGCCTGTCGGTGCTATAAATACAGCATCCTCTATAATCTGCTGTGGTACAGGCGGGAACAACACAAACGGCGCCTGTGCTCGACGCAAGATCTGACGACGGTTCCGACCCCACTCTCTGCGTAATGATGCTGTACTGGACACTCGAGCCTCCTGAAGATGAATATTTTCATCTTTCACACACACAAAAGGGCAAATAGAATTTGAAACAAGTACAATTAAATAAACCTAAACTCATTTTTTATATTAATTTTATCATCATTTATTCATTATTCGTTACTGAATTTGTAATGTACTTACAGCATTAACAATTCGCTTGTATATATTTTGATTTTCAGTTTGCACACGATTTAGAAACTGCACTCGATTTTTATAGTTCTGGTTGGTGGCCGCGCACGGTGGTTCATTCCAACGACAGTCCACTTTACCCTGTCACATATGTATAAAGTCTGGCCGCACAGGGTTTGCGTTTCTGACAGGTCGAGATCGAATGGCCGATGGAACTTTGAACTGACGTACGTACATAGTTTTTAAAAGTCAAACCACATAACTGCACTGTTTCAAGGTTATTTGGTCACATCACTAAAAAAACAAACAGTTGACATAACCTTGAAACAGCACAGATTGATGCGGTTTAATTTTTAAAACCTTTTAAAATTTAGAATAGCCCAAAATTAATTCGTTTATTCTAAGTTGGAATATTATTAAATTTTTAATGTTATCACTCGTTAATAAAGCTAATAAAAGATATTTTAAATTTAGATTGTACGTCAATTCAAAGTTACATCGCCCATTCGATCCCGACCTGTCCGAAACGCAAACTCTGAGCAACCGGACTGTAATATCTAGTAACTAGTGGTCGCTCAATGGTCGAAATTCAACGATTGATTTAAATTATAAGTTTGAACATTATTAAGCTTCTATTGTCAGAGACTACTATTAAAGACAAACAATATTAATCCATTCTCAATTAGACCAAAGATTTTAACAATAAATAAAAGCGTGTACCTATATGCGTGTGTCTCAAGTACATGGTCACACTAGCATGTTTTTGTAATGTTTTCCTAATTGATTTAATATATATATTAAATATAATTTTAATAAAATATTAGTATCGTTCACTCACTCGTTCTTTTATAAACTATAAATGTGTGAAATTTCATACTCTTCTGTCCGCGCAAATTTCGTAAAAAGGGGTTCAAAATTTTTGCTTCACGTATTAATATAATAATAACCAAGGACAATTCACACAGCGCCATCTAGTTGTGACTAAGCTAAGCAAAACTTTTATTATAGGTATTAGACGACTGATATAAATAATGAAATAGATATTTTTTAAATAAACAGATAGAAAACACCCAGACTAATACAAACAATCATACTCATGATTACAAGTGTTTGCACCGTGTGATGAATCGAACCTGCATCCGACGGAAAGCTAGTGTGCTAAACCGCTAGACCATCAAGGCCATCAATCCTGTAAAGATATTAGTATTGATTTGTTGGTGACAGACCCTCGTGAAGTGGGTTCTCTTGATGGCTATAAGCAGCTGTATGTTCTGTCGGTAGATCTGCAGGAGCTGGTGATGATAATGTGGTAGTGCACGCATCATCAGAGCGGGGGAGTACCGCGGGGGGGTCGAGTCCACTACCGCCCTCACGTGAGCAAACTGAAAACTCCCAAATTCAAAGTCAAATTGGTTTAGATTTAGTCGGGTCTTAACACGAATTAGTTTATAGAAAATAAAGGAATTTTCTCTCGACGTTTCGATTTGACAACTTTTAGGTGTAAGGTGTTAAGGCAGTGAAATTACAAGATACGAGGCATGACATCTTAATCCTCAATAGTGACAATCAGTAAGTAGTATCGCTGTTAGACAGTGATTCCTCGCGCGATTGACTTCCACTCGATTTTGCCCTGGAAACATTTGCCTGAAAAGTCCTGATGGAGTTGCCACGACGGGCTAACTGGCCTAATTTCATGATCTTCTTACTATATTTTACTGATGCTCCGCCAGTGTATACCGTTAGCAAAGGCAGGTGCACTATAATAATAATAACTCTGGACAATTCACACAGCGCCGTCGAGTTCCAAGCTAAGCGGAACTTGCGTTATAGCTACTTAAATATTTTTTGCAAATACATACATATTATACATAGAAAACAGCCAGACAAATGCAACTTATTAATACAAATGTTTGCACCGAGCGAGGAATCGAACCCGCGAATATCGGAAGTAAAGCGGTTTGCTGCACCGCTAGACCACTGGGGCAGTCTAATCTCGTCATTTAGTTTTTCTTTTGTATGCATTATGAATGCATACAAAAGAAAAACTGACGGACAGGCATCGAATTCGAGATTAATATCATTTAAAAATTTTAGTATATATTTTAAAATAAAAAACACAAACCTTATCCACTAATACTTTCTTCTTTTTCTTCATTAGCACTGCTTCTTCAAGTTCTGGAGGCGGAGAAGAATATTTCTTCGATACACATTCTTTGGACTTGGCTTTCTTCAAAATTGCGCCTATTAGTGTCATATTTTCAAAAATAATCAAAGAAAAGTAATTTAATTAGGTACTAAAATTTATATAAAGCCATAAAAACTATTGTGTATAAAATTAGTTTTCGAAAATCTATACGGCTGATTTTGTTGTAGGAACATTATGACATGGTTTATTATAAAGACAATAAAAAAAATTTGTAAAAACCTTGTTTTCGCACTGCACTTTTCATTACTAAAATACAACTCAAGCTACTTGCTGATAATACATTTAGATATTCTAGTGGTCGTAATTAGATTATAATTAATTTAACATTCAGTAAGACTATAATATTAAAGACAAACAATATTAAACTATTCTGTATGTAATTTGAGCACAGACTTTAACAATAAAGAAAATAATATATCGCTGTTTAAATACCAAAGGGCCACAACGCAAAAAAAATTGAATTTTTTTATTTCACACACTGTGTATTTTTTTTTTATTGTTATCTATAATGTATTTTTCATGCATAATTTTATAAAAATATTAGCAGTTTGCACATTTTCTCTACATAAACTATAAATGTGCGAAAAATTGTGAAAAAATTTCATACTCCTCCATCGGCGCAATGTTCATAAAAACGGATAGGTACTAATTATTTGCTTCACGTATTTCTGTATTGATTATATATTCTTCATTACATTCAGAAAACACAGTAAAAAAAGAATACCAGAGACTAAGTTTATTTCTAGAAAAGACTTTTTCCAATGAACCTAACATAGTGTAGCGTAGGATATATTTATCCAGGCGAAAGAATTTTGTACATCGATTAAGTATTTTTCATGACTTTATCCATTACTAGCGGCCCAGTTTCGCACGGATAGTTAACAAAAATTATAAAGGTACAAATAATTTGTACAGCATTAGGAACACAGAGTACTTTATTATATATAGGAATAGGGACATCGTTATCCTGCGACACCCGTAATACCACTCATGGTTTGCCATTCGAGAAGACTAAGACGTCAAGGATTACAGATCGCGCTTAATCTACACCTTACCACAGAAAAACAGCTTCCATATGTTGCTTGGCAGTAGGGGGAGGGGGATTGTTACTAATGGAGACTGAAACTAGAAATGTACCATGTCAGATTGACTTCCACGCGGTTTCCCCTAGAATTGACCTAACCTCGTGTTCGTCTTATCCCCCAATGGTGCCCTGCCAGCGTAAGCCGTTAGCGCACCACTCCATTATCTCCTAATAAAAATACCTACATGGGTAGATCTCACCTTATCTCGTTCGTCCCAATATTGTGATTTTTTGCGATTCACATTCACATTTTATCAAGATTTGTATGTCTGTACAGAAATATCTCTGGTTATTATATGACGACACTTTCCATCTGTTAGGCTACGAAATAATTACTTCAAATCAAACAGTTTTAAATAATACCACGAATTATGTGTATAAAGGTATTTATTTCAAACATATTGCACTATTAAAAATAAAGTAGTATAATAATAAAATAAAATAAATACTGATCATATAAAAGCCTCAATATAATATGTGTAAGGATAGGATAAATAAGTGTAAGGACCTAACACTTTGACTATTCAAAAGTGCTTAAATTAAGTTTATTTGAATAAATGATTTTCTATTCTATTCTATTCTTACATATGACATTTGCGTTTTGTCGTACTGGCCACTTTGATCTCAAATATCTCCTCTTTGGTTAGGAATTCCAATTTCAAATTTATACAGCTATTTAATCATGCATTTGTTTCTTGAAAACCATAATCCATATGTTTTTTCTATCTTTGGTTTTTTCTTTGCGTCACTCAGTTTACAAAATACTTAAAATATCGCGTTATTTAAATGTCACGAGTTCCGCCATTTTTTTTTCAAAATATGGTAAACTTCTTGCTAGGGAAAATATTAAACTCCCACTCCCACTTGCCTTTTTATTGATAAGCCTAAGATTTTATTGATTGCCGACCGAAATGGTTTTTTTAGTAAAGGTTTCAATGAACTACCTATGAGATAAGTGCATAAATAGCAATGGTACATACTTTGATTAAATAAATATATTATATTTTGAAAAAATCTATTTTAGGTTAATTAATCTATTTTGTAAGGGAGTACCTTAAAAAACGCCAATTACGTATTTTAGGACCTATGGTCCAGTCAAAATAGACATTTAAGTTAACCAAAATTCGCATAGAGCTGAAAATTGGTATAGATGTTAAATAAACCATTACAAATAAAATGTCAAAAATTCCCTTCCATTCTACATCTGCAAATTTTTTTGTCAAAGGTTTTTTTCCATTTTTCTCTGAAACCGAAAATATTATCGTCAAAATAGGTTAGACAAAAGTTGTAGATCATACAATTCTCTACAAAAATTGTCCTACTACTTGTTCGTGTACTACTTCTACTTGTTTGTTGATTCGTACGAAAAATCACCATTCGTGAGATACCGCGATTTTAAAAGTTGAAAAATTCATATTCATCATAATATGCACACATTTTCTCACCACCTAAGAGTTAATGTACTTGGCGCATTTATTTTTGGTGGATTCCCCAATAGGCATACTCCAGGATCTATTGCAATAAAGAAAGTTTGATCACCTGCGTGCGCCCGGGCGCTCATAAGAGTATTCCATGATAAATCGAGAGAACCAGCTTCCGATGCATCCAAGTTGTTGTTCTAGATCTAGGTATCATATTAGTTTAAGTCATTTAAGTTGATTTTTAGTTTATTTTTGTAATTTAACATAGGTACGATAGGATTGTCGTCGTCACATTTTGTGTACAAAAATCCCAAAAAAACAATAAAGAGAGAAATAAAAAACAAAACAAAAAAGCGCGGTGTGGACGAAGTCTGGAGGCGAGCTAGTCGAGTACCGGGCACGCATGAAGTCTGGGGGCGAGCTAGTCGCGTGTCGGGCACGGACGAAGTCTGGGGGCGAGCTTGTGGAGTGTCGGGCACGGACGAAGTCTGGGGGCGAGCTTGTGGAGTGTCGGGCACGGACGAAGTCTGGGGGCGAGCTAGTAGAGTGTCAGGCACGGACGAAGTCTGGTGGCGAACTAGTCGAGTGTCGGGCACGGATGAAATCTGGGGGCGAGCTAGTCGAGTACCAGGTACAGACGAAGTCTTGGGGCGAGCTAGTCGCGTGCCAGGCACAGACGAAGTCTGTGGGCGAGCTAGTAGAGTACCGGGCCGCGTGTTCACTCGACTGTACGACAGATACCCATCAGACAAATCCGGCGGCTCCATCTGCAAATTGATATAAAAATATAACAAAAATGACCATTACAATTAATTCTCCCTCAAAATTACGAGGGCCTGAACCGAGGTTCTGTTCCCCTAGAGGGCTCTCAGACTACGGTCGTGTCGGTCAGGCAGAAATTGACCTTCAGTCGCTCTGTAAGTCCTTCCCCGGGTTTGACCTGTCGCGCCGTCTGCACTTGTGAATTATCGTTAGGTGAAGCTTTAAATGCTAGCTGAGGCCAACAGCGTTACAATAATTTGATATAAAAAACATGTACATTTCGTACAGCACCATCTGGTCCAGTGTATCTGGACCTGGATCTACCCCACTTTAGCCTATCTAAAATTCTTACGCCTGATAATATTTATAATAAAAATAAAACTATTCACTTTAGAATCTTAAATGATAGTATTTAAGAAGAAATCACAGGGAAATTGTTAACGAAACACAATTTTAAAAACGCACAATGAAATTCAAGACCCAATAATTTGAATATCTAGATACGCGGTAGCGTGTCAAGCCGAGTTTCAAGTAAGAGAATTGGCGATCAGCACCGTGTGTATATTTACACGAACCATTTGGAGTAACTTTTGATCCCCTCATAACTCAAAAACTCTTTCACATAAACCTGTCAAATTTGGTTCATATATTTATTTAGATATTAACGTCCAAATATCGTCATTTTTATCACTGATCAACTATAGATCAAAATTATAACCCACTTCCAGATGACCTAGGAAGTTCAAATTTGGCATGCAGATAGGTAATTAGGCGAATATAAAGTAAACTGGTAAATTGTTATCATTTTATTATAATTTTTCACTTTAATTGATTCTATTTCAACTTATATTGGACGAATACTAAAATTCTATGAAAACGTCGATAGCCACCAATGAACATTGATCCCTGGCAAAAATAGCTCATCTTGTACTGGACTGAAAGTAATATTGTATGAAAACGTCGATAGCTACCAATTAACTTTGATCCATCACTGGCTACCAGAGATCATCTTGTACTGGACGGAAAGTAATATTGTATGAAAACGTCGATCTTTACCAATTTACGTTAACCCCTTCACATCAGTGTGGATAACTAGCAAACTTCAAATATTGCATTGAGCGGTAAACACAAGTTGCTATAATTTAGATTCTGTCTAAAATATACTCGTACTTATAACTAAGAGTATAGTCGAAATATCATATACCCCGAAATCATACGAAAATACAGTAGTTTATCAAAAATTATTTGGTATTAATTTAGTTATAAATAAGTACCTCGTATAATTTGTGTACAAAAAGTAATGATATCCCATCAAAAACATAAATGTGAAATGATAGCCGAGTTTAATATTATGATATATGCCTTGATTGTTGACTTCTACGACAAAAGAGGTGAGATCTAAATGGGTGCCAAGTTCAATGGTCTGTCCTGAAATGTATTTATAACAATATAAAATATCATTTCTTCTTATAACTTAGGATAATATACTGTAGCCTAAGGTCTAACTTGGCCAGTTTTCATATACGAAATATACTGTAGCCTTCGCAAGTTCTAAACATGTTACTTGTCGGTTCCTATTTTATTATTAGTAGTAACTAGCAATCGAAAGTAATAATTGGTATATGAGAACTGGCAAGTCAGACCTTAGGCTACAGTATATTATCCTAAGTTATAAGAAGAAATGATATTTTATATTGTTATAAATACATTTCAGGACAGACCATTGAACTTGGCACCCATTTAGATCTCACCTCTTTTGTCGTAGAAGTCAACAATCAAGGCATATATCATAATATTAAACTCGGCTATCATCACATTTATGTTTTTGATGGGATCCATATTACTATATGATTTTTACGGGGATCGATCGGAGGGGGATATAGAGTAGGTATGAAGTTAAAAAGATTGCTGATCAATAAGTGTTTTTATTCTGTTGATGAACACTTTAATTCATGAAGTAATTAAAGTATTTCGGCCAGAAATTTAATAATGAAAATAAAAGAAAATAAAAATGAAGCTGATGAATATGTATACTCTTGTATATGTAACACTTAATTTTGTATACCAGATTCTGATTGAATAGTATTTTTTTCGGACTCCTCTAATGCTGTTGTGGCCGCAGCTGGTCTTTACAGCTTCACCTAACGTAGGGGGCGAGTGCAGATGACACTCCAAACCCTGCGGAAGGACTTATGGAGCGGCTGAAGGCCAACTCCTGCCTGACGGATACGACTTTAGTCTGAGGGCACCACTAGGGGTTCGAACCTCGACACAGGCCGTCGTAATTTCGATCCCCGTTTGAATTGGACGGGGGATCGATCGGAGGGGCGCCCGGGATCGCCGGTGTGGAGCGCCCGGGCGCGCGCAGTTGCCCGGTTGAACGCGCGATATTGTGTGTTTGAGGTCGTCGTCTTCGCCGGCGAGGACGGTGTCGTGTGTGTGTGTGTAAAAGTGTGGTCGGGGTGATGATTGAATAGTGTGATACATAAATTGTAATTTTTAAAATACTGTAATCCATTTTTCAGGTAAAAAAAAATATTTGTGTTTATGGACGTGTACTCACGTGATTGTGTTGTTGGGAGTGTTGCTGGTGGTGTTGGTGCGGCGCCATGTTGTTTCCGGTGTAGGCGACGCACTTGACTTGCCACTCGCCCAACTGCTCGTTCCAGTGCACGTACTGCTCGATCAACGCCTGTATTTACATGTGTTATAGATATGAGCCGTATGCTTATTTTATTATTTATTTATTTCAGGCTACTAATGTCCCGTGTATTACAAATATCTTATGAACTAACATACAAATAATATCTTTATTCATGTAGGTCTATTACAGACTCTTATGATATGTCAAATCTACGAGTACCATCAGTTTCGAATGCTTACGAGATGAAAAGAACTGACAAGAAACTCGGCTCGTATTCTTTTCAAATAAGGTTGTAGATATTTACAATAAAACAGATTCATTTTAAAATTCAAATTTGGGAGAATAGTGACTATTATCATCATATGCTATTGCAATTTTGTCCAAAACAAATAACCCGAACAGACCAGACCCTACAAGCATACCCGTTCACGAGTATGACAGATATATATATATATATAATAATAATATAAATCGTCTGTGGACACGGCACTGTCGAGACAACAATCAGCCAGGGTAGCGCTGATACACCACTCCCTTCGGATAGTAGTCCTCCTTCACGACAAAAGTATAAAAACAAAATGACCTATTTATAATACCTGATATTCTTTAGGTATATACGAGTCGAGGACCAAATCTGCCAGCTGAATCTCCCTCCGTAGAGCTCGTATTCCATCTAGGATGCCCTCCATCTCTCGTTGCTGTTCACGCTGCTGGTCCGCCAGCTCCGCTTTAGCGGAGTCCAGCAGTTGCACCGCTTGCTTGAGCTCGCATGTTTTGGCTGCGTTCTCTTCTTGCAAACTCGAGTAACGCTCTTCTAAGTCTAGACGTTCGGCCTGGAAAAAATCATATAAAGATACTTTGATTGTAATTTTTTTTGTTACTATTATTTTTATAATGTCACGTCTCTGGCCGTCAGCTTGTTTGCCATTCTAATCCATAATATATACGAGAAGCAAAAATTTTGTTCCTTTCTACGAAAATTTCTCGGACTGTATGAATTTCGTACACTCATATTTTACATAGAGAATGAGTGAAGAAAGCTAATATTTTTTAAATTATGCATTAAAACGCTTAAATACATACACGCATATATATTCTTATGTTTATTGTTAAAGTCTGCGGTCAAATTGAGAATAGATTAATATTAGATATCAATAGTCTATTAAATGAAAACCACCACTGGGCGACCCTAGTGGTCGCCCAGTGGTGGTTTTCATTTAATTTAAAAAAAGCAATCCGTTACAATACCTTCTTCTTGTGTAAATCTTCCTGCAGTTGCAGTTCGATCAGCCGCCGCTGTTCGTTCTCGCGGGACGCTCGTTCCAGCAGCTGCCGTTGTGTCTCCGCTTTATCCAGCAGATACTCGCCGCCGGCCAACACTTTTGACTTCAGAGGTTGCAGTTGCAGTTGATTCCTGGTGAATGGACTTACTCATGCTCATCATCCTCTACTGGTATCCCGCCAGCGTAAACCGTAAGCGTAGGCGGGTTAACCATACCATTATCCTCCATTAATATAAAGTTTTTTCATTGACACTAGATAAATTGCAGAAATACAAAAGTGCCATTGTATAAAAATGTACAAAAGATTAATTCTTTGATGACCAGCATTATACTTTCAACTTTTTTATCGTGTAGAAAAAGTTTGGCATTCTTACCTACTAAAATATCACACGATGTACCATTGCCGGAGTTGCGAGGTCGCGTTAGCACTTTACCGTGACTCCGACGGCGTTGGCCCGCCCTGTAAATATAGGATAGGCCTATCTCGTTGTTAGGGCGACCTATTTCGCCCTCCTCGATTGTGGAAGCGTGTGGATACACTTTGTAAATCCCAACTCCCTTAAATTGTGGCGTAATTTATTGGATAGCATGTTAATTCACTCACTTGGTCCTCTGGAGCTCCGCCTTCTTTTCCTCAAGCACCTTCTGTGCCTGGTGGGCCTTTTCCTTGCTCAGTTCCTCCTAAAATATTAAATATAAATAATAATAAATAAAGATTGTAAGAGTTCGCACTTTCGTACCCATGGCATTCGGACCAGTAATAGTTTTCAATAGTTTTTTTTTAAAACGATGGGAAGAAAACAAACACGAAATTAAGTCACGCTCGTACGCCACCGGTTCCAAGTTTCTGAAATTAGAGCACACAAACGCACAAACAGACAACAGACAAAAATTCTAATACATCAGTGCTGTCAGCTTGTCTGCCAATTTAATTACATCAAATCCAACACAGCCGGAGGCGAGCCTACCGCCATCTTTCGGATTAATTTTTTATTTATTATCAGTGTTTCCTTCAACCGATAATAGAATAGAAGATAATAGAATAATCATTAATAAATATAATCAAGTAAACTTAAATTGAAGCACTTTTGAACAATATTTTTTTATCCACACTAATACGGACAGCTGCCTCGTAACAAGAAGAACGAGCAAGAAATTTGCGTGTTGCTCATTAAGTTGTTAAATAATTGTAGTAATATATTTTTAAAATTAAATAGCACTAATTTATTAGAGTTAAATTATTACATACCAGTGTTTATTTGAAGAAATAATATCAATAAAAATATATTAAGTCTTAACATATGAAATTGGCGTTATGTAAGCTATTACACCAATTTGCTTCCAGTGGATAAAGACAGTTTTGTCATTAACACAGCAGTCTGCAACTAACTCAAACGTGGTTTGCGATGGATCCATTGTCACATAGCCTTCAATTCTTCATTATCAACCTTGGACTCCGGCCGCCTACGGGGCTTGTTCTGTAGATCGCAATTTCCAGAAAGAAAACGTTGGAACCAAAAACGCACTGTGTTTTCTTTTGCGAGACCACCGCCATACACATCATTAATCCTTCGAGCAGTTTCTGCAGCACTGGTATTACGGCGGAACTCGTACTCATAAATAACTCGATATTTTAAGTTTTCCATTTTGTAAACTGAGTGACGCAAAGAAAAAACCAAAGATGGAAGAACAAATGTAAGATTAAATAGCTATATAAATTTGAAATTGGAATTCCTAACCAAAGAGAAGATATTTGAGATCAAAGTGGCCAGTACCACAAAACGCCAATTTCATAAGGACTTAATTTTTTTTTTATGTTTATTCGCATTTGACTCTCAATCTCACCTGATGATTTTTTTAGTGTCATCCAAATTTGAACTTAGTTTAAGTCGGGATTGTAAATCACTAGTCTACGATGCAATACGACCGCATATTTAAAAACAAAGGTATATCTGACCTTCTCCTCCCGTCTCATCTTGCGACGCAGTTTCTTCTCCTCAGGATCCAGGCTGTCCAGCTCCGACTCGGTGAGGGTCTCCTCCAACAGTTCTTCTTCAGACATTTCCTCTTTTTCGCATTCTTCCTCGATTTCCATGTAGTAAATAAATATTGTAAATGCGAAATTTATCTCTTTATCTGGCTGTTTGTTACCTTTGCTATTGTAGAGATTTTAACTAGGCTGAGCCTATAGTACAGTGGTCGGTAAGAATTTTTAGGTGGGGTCCGGATAGTGTGGGAAAATTTTAACGAGGTCCAAAAAAACAACTCATAATAATTAAGTGCTACCTATTTATTATTTTGGTTAAAAATCTAATTCTGAAGTGTAAAACATGACCTAAAATTAATGTAAGAATTTAGATCTTACCACCTAATTCGCACAAACACACCCACGCAGGTTAGATAGAAAACTAATCAAAACATATCAATTATAAAGTAGGTACTGCGATTAATAGAAAAATACGAGATTCATAAACAAGATTAGAAATAAGTAGATATAAGTAATAAAAATATTGCAGTTTTTTATTACCTTTATGATACTCAAAAATGTGAAAACATGTGACGTAAGAAGCGCACCTCCCGCGCCTCTCACATACCCCCCCCCCCCATACCGCCGTTCACACAAGCGCCCGTCGGAGCATTAAATATGCTAATTCGCCCGTTGACGGAGCTGCTAACAACGCTCCGGAGCAGATATTAAGTCGACGGCATTAAATGGCTTGGCCATACTGAATCAGTACACTAATATCGGGTACTAGTCTACGCATAGTGTCTCGGAACCCCGGGGGACTCCAATACAAAGTCCAGGACCTCCGTCGCTATCTCACAACCAGGATGTGCATATTATAAACGAAGCTCACAGAAAAGGAGACGTTGAGGGTGCTTGCAGCTGAACTAGGTGAGACAGGTCGATCTGCACGAGTAGGGGGGAGGGGGGATTCACGCGGTTTCCCCTGGAACTGACCTAACCTCGTGTTCGTCTTATCTCCCACTGGTGCTCCGCCAGCGTAACCCGTTAGCGCACCATTCCACTATTATCCCTTAATAAAAATACCTACATGGGTAGATCTCACCTTATCTCGTTCGTGTATATGTGATTAATGGGTGTAAATTATATGTAATTTTTTTTGTAATTTTTTTGCGATACATATTTAGTTTTATCAAAACTAGTATGTCCAACGACTGTACAGAAATATCTGTGGTTATTATATGACGACACTTCCCATCTGTTAGGCTACGAGTTAATTACTACAAATCAAACAGTTTTAAATAATAACACCAATTACGTGTATAAAAGTATTTATTTAAAAAATATTGCACTATTAAAAAACAAAATTAAATAGTATAATAATAAATAATTTGCAATACATAATTAGAAAGTTTTAATACTGAAAATAAAAAAGCCTAAATAAAATCACGGAATGCGACTAGCAAAGTTAATAAATCAAGGTATACGAGTGCACAACTCAATTTGTATTATCACAAAATAATCAAACACACATATGCATCACTTCAAAACATTTGGCGTTTTTACTTATGTCTTATTTTTTATCATAATTCACGCACGCTATGAGATTTATCGATTACTAAAGAAAATCTTAATATTAATATTATAAACGTAAAGTTTGTGAGTATGTATGGATGTTTGTTACTCTTCACGCAAAAACTACTAAACGGATTTTGATGAAACATCAAATATCACATAGGCATCAAAATAACATACAGGCTATAAATTTCACGCGGGTGGGTTGCAAGCACATACTCTCATAAATAAATTATTTTTATTACTCAACATATTACAATTGAGTAATAAATAAGCAGATATAAGTCTTCCAAGACATCATGTTTTAATTTTACATAGTCAGGTATGTTAATATTACTTAAGTGTCGGCAACTCGCACGTGACCCTGGTGTTTCATGCGTCCATAGTCTACCATAACCATCAAATGGGCTGTTTACTAAAGTACCACCATCGTTGTATATAAAAAAATTAATTAGTGAATAGTTCTCTTTACACGTACGCTCTTTAACACGAGAATCTGCTTTCACGCAGAAAAGATTGTGTATGTAAATATATAAATAGACAAAGGGAATGAGAAAGATCGCGCGCGTCGCCAGTGAGCGCGTTCACGCGCGAGTGCTTTAGTTCTTGATAACAGTTATCTTTGCAAAAGGGTGGACAATTGATATTTATCAATCTTAAGCTTGTCCTTGAGAAATAAATGCTGTTAAGTGAAATGCCATGAAATATGTGGGCAATAACGCGCGAAAGAGTGAACACAAAATTGTAAAACGCAATACCTCACGGTTGCGCGCGCTGGTCTTCCCGCGCTCCTAATCGCACGTGAAAGAACGTATTGGTATTGTGTAAAGACTTAGCTTATTTTTGAAAAGTATTTATTTAAATACGATTTCGCTCACAGGCGATGCTCGTAATCGGCGCCGTCCTGACCGGCAATTGTTATGTGTTACATAAACGTTCACGCTACTGGCGCTGTCGTAGCGCCGTGTGCGGGCGCGGCACGGACGAAGTCTGGGGGCGAGCTAGTCGAGTACCGGGCCGCGTGTTCACTCGACTGTACGACAGATACCGGTCAGACAAATCCGGCGGCTCCATCTGAAAATTTATATATAAATATAACAAAAATGACCATGTACAATTAATTCCCCCTCAAAATTACGACGGTCTCAACCGAGGTTCGAACCCCTAACGGTGCTCAGACTGAAGTTGTATCCGTCAGGCTGGAGTTGACCTTCAGGTCACTCTGTGTTTAGGGGGGTTTGAAGTGCTTTCTGCTCTCGTCAGTGAACCGATCGTTGAAGCTGTAAAGGCCAGTTGAGGCCAACAGCATTACAATAATTTGAAATAAAAAACATTATTATACAATTCATACAGCACCATCTAGAGTCCAGTGTATCATGACCTACCTTAGCCTTTTTAAAATTCTTATTGCCCATATGTATCAAACAATTTTTAAAATAAAAAAGACTTTATTATTCACTTAAATGATAGGTTTTAAGAAGAAATCACGGGTAAATTCACGGGTAAAAAGATACACAAATTTTTAAAAACACACAACGAATAACTGTAATTCATGATCCAAAGATCCAAATAATTGTAATAATGATTTTTCTATATGATTTTTTACGGCGATTGATCGGAGAATGATATATAGCCGTGTACTCACGTGTTTGTGTTGTTGCGAGTGTTGCTGGTGGTGTTGGTGCGGCGCCATGTTGTTTCCGGTGTAGGCGACGCACTTGACTTGCCACTCGCCCAACTGCTCGTTCCAGTGCACGTACTGCTCGATCAACGCCTGTATTCACATGTGTTATAGATATAAGATGGCCGTATGCTTATTTTATTATTTATTTATTTCAGACTACTAATATTCCATATTATTAATACCCTATAGACTAACATACAAATTAAAAAATCTAAAGATCTTTATTCATGTCTATTACAGACTCTTATAATCTTATCTCAAATCTACCGTCAGTTCACGAGTAATTTCGATATGAGAAAAACTGACAAGAAACTCAGCTCGTATTCTTTTCAAATAAGGTTGTACATGTGTACAATAATATATTTTTAAATTAAATTTGGCAGACCACTATCATATGCTATTGCAATCTTGTCAAAAGGCGTTCGTAACCCGAACGGACCTGTCCTCACAAGCAGCACCCGTTCACGAGTATGACGGATAAATATGTAATAATAATATAATCTGGTCACGGCACTGATGACGGCAATCTGCCACGGTAGCGCCGATACATACCTTTGGTACCTTTGGTACCTTTAGTACCTTTGATACCTTTGGCAATTAGTCCTCCTTCATGAAAGTAGATTTGCCACTATCGTTGTATAAAACAAATGTACAACAACAAAATGACCTATTTATAATACCTGATATTCCTTGGGTATATACGAGTCGAGGACCAAATCTGCCAGCTGAATCTCCCTCCGCAGGGCTCGTACCCCGTCCAGGATGCCCTCCATCTCCCGTTGCTGTTCACGCTGCTGGTCCGCCAGCTCCGCTTTGGCGGAGTTGAGCAGTTGCACCGCTCGTTTGAGCTTGCGTGTTTTGGCTGCGTTCTCTTCTTGCAAACTCGAGTAGCGCTCTTCCAAGTCTAGACGCTCGGCCTGGAAAAAATCATATCATAATTATTATATGTATATTATGTTTCTGATTGCTATTAAGTAATAGTAATGTAAGTGTGCACACATATACAGTATAAGATAAAGATCATATTACACAGCGTGGCAAAGCCCACCTACTGCACTTTCCTGCCCAGCAATCTTGTAATTGATGTAGTGAAATGTAAACGTATCGTTATTTCATTTACATCCGTGATTATGAGGCTGGAGTTTCATTTGGAAAATCATATACACCACATTCCCAAGCACACCCTCGTGGTGATAATCTATATGACTCAATATATTTTTAATGCATCCGTGAAATCAACCCTGGACAATTCGAGCTAAATGACTAGCCAAAAATATTATTTTAAAAATGCCACGTCTCTGGCCGTCAGCCTGTTTGTCAGTCTTAAACTACAACATAGATATGAAGCAAAAACTTTGTATTCTTTTATACGAAACTTTCACAACTTTCAATTACCACAGATAATATAATATTACATACAATTACACACTCATAATTTGTATAGAGAACGATCGAAGAAACCAATTTTTTTTTAATTATACATAAAAAACATATTAAAATAAAAGTATCACTCTATCGTATCTTTGACACACACGCATATCTACCCTTTTGTTTATTGGTAAAGTCTGTGGTGAAATTAAGAATAGATTACTATTATTTGTCTATAGTGTACTGAATATTAATTTAAATATAGTCGAATATTGACCACTCAGCGACCACTAGAGTTATACAAAAAAGCTATCTTTTTTTTTAATCAATTACAATACCTCCTTCTTGTGCAAATCTTCCTGCAGTTGCAGTTCGATCAGCCGCCGCTGTTCGATCTCGCGGGACGCTTGTTCCAGCAGCTGCCGTTGTGTCTCCGCTTTATCTAGCAGATTCTCGCCACCGACCAGCACTTTGGACTCCAGACGTTGCAGCTTGTCCTTCAACTCTTCTTGTTGTTTCCTGTGTAAGATGCATACAGTCTGTATTGATGGTAACAAGATGTGAAACTTGTCTAAACTGAAATATATTAGTTGTTCCCTTAACTTATAGTACTTTTCATTTCAATATTTTCCCTACTGCGTAAATCTCTATTTCCGAAATTGTTTTGGGAGAAGGGATTGTTAGTAATGTGGACTGATGGCCCCTTTGCTGGAATGTACCATATCAGGATGACCTCCACGCGGTTCCCCCTGGAAACCATCATGATAAAGTCCTGGTGCATTTACCACGATGGGCTAACTCACCTGACCTCAGACAAATCATGCTCCACTGGTGCCCCGCCAGCGTAAACCGTAAGTGCAGGCGGGTTCACTATACCATTATAATATATTAAAAAAAGTCAAATTTTACATTGACATTAGAAAAAATTACAGAGATAAAGTGAATGTATAACGATTCATTACTTCCAACACTTATCGTGTAGAAAATCTTCAAAAGACCCCTACCATGAGGGTAACGAAAGGGTGTGTGGGATTCTTGTTCACTACAAAACCACAGGGTGTACAGATGAGCACCATTGCCGTAGTCGCCTGGTCGTGTTAACATTCTACCGTAACTCCGACTGCGTTGGCCCGCCTTGTAGATGTAGGGCAGGCCTTATCTCGTAGTTAGGGCGACCTATATCGCCCTACTCAATTGTGGAAGCGTGTGGATATACTAAATCCTAGTTATAAACTGCGGGGTAATTTATAGATAGCATGTGAATTCACTCACTTGGTCCTCTGGAGCTCCGCCTTCTTTTCCTCAAGCACCTTCCGTGCCTGGTGGGCCTTCTCCTTATTCAGTTTCTCCTGAAATATTAAATATAAATTAAATACTATTAGAGATCGCACTTTCGTATCCATGGCATAGATTTCAGCAAAGTTTTTTTTCTTTTGAAACCAATTGGAATAAAAGTGGCACGCAATCCGTTCCTCGTTTCCGAGATTAGGGCACACAAACGCACAAACCGACAAATGTTCTAAACATCAGAGTTGTCAGCTTGTTTGCCATTTTAATTACAACAAATCCAATCTGGTGGCGAGCCTCCGAGCGAGCGAGATTTCTCGGACGAACATTTGATTTATTAATGTTGGAAGTATAATGCTGGCTATCGTAGAATTAATTGTTTGTACATTTTTATACAATATGTCACTTTTTAATATCTCAGGAATTTTTTTATGTCAACGTGAAAATATATTTTAATTTTTATTCTACTGCTGCTTTCTCTTATTTCCAAAAATTATTAGTGTTTCGTTTAACCGAGAATAAAATAGAATAGAAAATCATTTAGTCAAATAAACTTAAATTAACTATTGAATAGTCATACTTATTTTTTTATACAGCACACATTCGGAAAGCTGTCTCATCACAAGAAGAACGAGGAAGAAACTTGTATATTGCACAATTTTTCTCATATATTTTTAAATTGAAATCTGTGAATACAAACCTCCAAATAGCACTCATTTATTAGAGCCTCAATAATAAATACAGAATAGTCAGAATTATATTATATATAGAAAGTTATTTTTTTTTGTGTCAACCAAATTGGAACTTTCGGAATGTTGATTTTAGGTCGAGATTGTAAACCACTGTGGTTTACAATGCAATACGACCGCTTATTTAAAAACAAAGGTCTAGCTAACCTTCTCCTCCCGTCTCATCTTGCGACGCAGTTTCTTCTCCTCAGGGTCGAGGCCGTCCAGCTCCGACTCGGTGAGGGTCTCCTCCGACAGTTCTTCTTCAGACACCTCCTCTTCTTCGCATTCTTCCTCGATTTCTATATGTAAATAAATATTCTAAATATGAAAATTTCTTGTCTATTTATTTATTTATTTGCAGAATACAATGTTACAAGTAGGTCTTACAATATGAATATTCGTTTTATGTATTCAGCCTGCTAACAGGCGTGCAAAATTTATATATATTATTACTTTCATAAAATGAATTAATTTTTAAAATATTTCTAATAACTTAATTAAATTGTTAATATATTAAAATATGTCAACAACTAACATTATTTTACATGTCAACAAAATCTTTAATACTATAAAAACAATTTTCTAATAACCAATTATAAAGTCTAGATTTAAAAAGTCTAAAATTTTGTACATTCTAGTCCATACATCTTCACACCAAATTTAATTAAGATAATTTCACCCATTTCCGGCCAACAGACATTTTCTCTATATATATGTATATATTTACATATACACTATACACAACATATGTATTGCATGATATAAGGTATCTTCACACTAAATTTAATTAAGATGCGTATCTGTTTAGTCATGCAACGGTAACAAACAGACAAATGCACACCCTAAAGTAAATACAATATAATACACACATTATTAGACACAGGACGGTAAAGAATTAAATTAAAAATTGAAATTAGTTACTTTTACTTCAAATAAAGTAAAACGGAAAGTCATATATACACTCGAACTTGAAAGTTGGCCTGTAGTAGTATTCTGAACTATATTACAAAAATGGTAAAAATCTGTAATCTATACTAATAGTATAAAACGGACGAGCTTGTTTGAACGCGCTAATATAAGGAACTACTGGTTCGAATTGAAAAAAATATTGTTGGATAGTCCATTTCAGTCGAGGAAGGCTTTATTTATTTATTTACTTATTTTAAGCTATATAACATTACGCTACGACCAATAGAAGTGCAGCATCAGTGAAAAATGTTACATATATTATTTGAGGTCTTCCGTTGCGTGCGCTGCGTAAACGGTATAAGTTATCCAAAAAATATGTATGAAGTGTTTTTGATAAGTTGATAACTACGCAAACGAGGTCGTGGACACAACTAGTTACTGATATAATAATAATAATTAAAACTTTATTCGTTAAATGTATTAATTACATATATAAGTATTTTAAGCTATATATACGATATTTGAATGTCTCACCATTAGTATTCTCTTCCAATTGTTTCTTAAGTTGATCGATCTCTTGTTGAAACCTGTGGAATAAAGGGGGAAGGGGATTGTTAGTGATGTGGACTAATAACCCCATTTTTTTTTTATACCACTTAGGTGGCAAACAAGCATACGGTCCATCTGATGGTAAACGGTTACCGTAGCCTATGGACGCCTGAAACACCAGGGGTGTCACATACGCGTTGCCGACCCTTAAGAAACCTTAATATACCCTTCTTGAAAAACCCCATTGCCAGCAATGTACCATATCAGGTTGACCTCCACGTAGTTGCCCCTGGAAACCATCGTGAATTTACCACGATGTGCTAACTGACCTGACCGGGGGGAAGGGGGTTGTTTGTAATGTAGACTAATGATCCTATTGCTAGCAATGTACCATGTCAGATCAACCTCCACGCGGTTCCCCCTGCAAACCATAGTGATACATTCCCGGTGAATTTGTCACGTTGGGCTAACTGAACTGACTTCATGTTCATCTTATCATCCTCTACTGGTGCCCCGCCAGCGTAAGCCGTTAGCGTAGGCGAGTGCACCATTCCATTATCATCCTTTAATAAAAAAAGAACTGACTTCATGTTCATCTTATCATCCTCTACTGGTGCCCCGCCAGCGTAAACCATTAGCGCAAGCTGGTGCACCATTCTATTCCAGTTCTAATACAATTTACACAGCGCCATCTAGTCCCAAGCTAAGCAGAGCCTGTGTTATAGGCACTAGGCAACGGATATAAAAATAAATAGTCTTTTTTTGTAAATGTATACATTACATAGGTAACACCCAGATCAATACAAACAATTATACTCAAGAAATCGAACACGCGACCATTCAAAGTAAGGCGCTGTGCTAAACCGCTGGACCACTGCGGTCATCATAATATGAAATTATTCGTTATATACACACTTAAATAATAAGAGGTATGTACCTCTATTAGCACTCGGGTTAGTACCTGGTAAGCAGGGCGTCCCCGGGCTCGCTGTTCACATGTGTCTTGTTCTCAATATTCTTGGCGCGGTTGGCATATCGCAAAGTGCTGATCGTCTCCACATAATTGCACTCTGCTGGACCGATTGTAGCTATCTGCAAATTTATTAATTTTCTTATTTATTTCAGGCTACTAATGGCTAAGGCTACTAATCCACATTATAAATACTTCATAGACCAGTGTTTCTTCTGATGAGATAGCTTATTAAATGTGTAGTAAATTAAAAAAAAATGTGATGACTATTCTAAAGTGCTTCAATATAAGTTAATTTGTATAAACGATAGTCTATTCTAGTAGAAACAATTTAAAATCCAAATTCCACTAACCATAACAGTCTTGGAGTTCCCACCGAGTGAGTCCTGCAGCAACCTCGTCAGCTTCGAGTTTCTGTACGGTATGTGGGTACTCTTTCCGTCCACTAGTGCAGATATCACGTTTCCGAGCACCGACAGAGACTGGTTGATCTTCGTCGCTTCTTTCAATCGTGTGCCGGTCGCGTGGGTTTTGCTTTGACGTTCTGAACCCTAAAATAGAAGGCATAAGGTATGTTTTCATGTACTCATATCATATTAATTATTTTTTCAATTTTTTATACGACAATGATAGCAAATAAGCACACGGCACATCTGTATGAATGTAACCGTAGCGTATGGACGCCTGAAATAATAGGGTGTAAGTCTATGATGTATGTAACAATACACGAATCAATGTGAGTTTGTATTAAAACTAGTAATGTTTCCTGTAACCGTTTAGCATCAAATGATCCGTATGCTCATTTGCCACTATCCCAGTATAAAACTTATAAATCTCAGTCTTCTATGGACTTACAAGTCTCAGAGATGAGATGAACTGTTTATTACGCTCTAGTGGAATCAAAACTTAGATATAGTATAAAGTTTTGTAAAAAGTATTGTTGGTAGTGAGACTAGGGAGAATCGAGACATAACGGAAAGTACTCGCAGACTGGATTACCCTAACATTATAAAACCAACCCTTAATATTGTGAAGCATGGTGAGGGTTTCCAAGCAGTAAGGCTTTTTATAACTCTTTGCCCAATAGTTTAAAGAAAATACATAATTGAAAGCTTTTTAGGAGGAGGTTGCGTTGTTTTCTGTTGGAGCAATTATTTTACAGTGTTGATGAATTCATCAACACTGTAAGAAGCAAAAAGTTGCTTAGCAGCAAAAATTGTATAATTTCAAACACAATATAAATTGTTACTGAATAAATAAATATCAAGTTTTCTTTTTATGTAAATGACATGTCAAGGGACGGTCGTGGTACACCTCATTCCTAGCCATTCCGGAATTATTGGGAGCACTAGAAAACATCGTTTATCTTCCTGGTCAATTTACCACGATGTGCTGATATGACTTCAATCCCTACACAAAAAAATTGTAATTTCACACACATAGTTTACATAGAGGAGTGCAGAATACTAATTTTTTTTTTTTAATTATCCATAATATATCCGTATTCAACGAACAGTCGCGCATATACTCTTGTTTATTGCCGGTGTGACTGCCAGGCCTGTGAGTGTATAATTTTCGACAATAGAATCTTAATATTGTTCAAACTTATAATTGAAATTAATTATAGTCGAATATCGACTACCAGGCGATCACTAGTTATTATATTACATTACAGTCAATATTACATTACGTTACATTACAATGGGTATTGTAATATAATGTAATATGGACTATTCTCCGCATTTAGCCTCTACTTTGGGCGTTATTATGGCCCATTAAAAATCATCCTTACCGCCAAGTCAACAAGGTGCAGTTTCCCCATCTTGACGTGCATCTTCCCGTCGGCACCTCGCTTGCTGCTCTCCACCGTGATGGAGAAGATCGCGTGCGACCGTGAACTCTCCGTATTCATGGCGGTGGCGCCGATGTGCCGGTTCTTATTACCGACCGCCATTATCTTCTCAAGCTCGTCTGCGTTGTGTACCACGTAGCCTGAGAATATAACATTTTTTGATTGAGAATGTGTATTACTTAGACTGAGAATCTTTATGTAGTGTGAGAATGCGTAATATAATAATAATATCTCAGGACAACTCACACAGCGCCATCTAATTCCAAAGTAAGCAAAGCTTAATTAGAGCAGTGTTAGTCGAGAGAGGTAAATACTTTTATTTACCACTAGCTGTGCACGCGGTTTGACCCGCGTTAAATTTCAATAATAAATATAGCCCATGTGTTATTCTGATGCATAAGCCATATTAATGTAGTTTCATCAAAATCTGTTCAGTAGTTTTTGCGTGAAAGAGTAACAAACATCCATACTTACAAACTGTCGCATTTATTAAGATAAAATTATTAGTGTTAAGACCTGTTTAACATAATAAAATTGTTGTTTATTTAAACTTCAGTATTATCTTACCGGTGAGATCTTTGACAAAAACGCCGATGTCGGGCCGCTCCTTCACTTCGAGGCTCTGGTGGGGATTATTCCCCAACAGATCGCGCACCTCTTCATTGTATATCTCCAAATAGGTCACGCATACTAAGAACCTATTTAAATATATAACATTAAGAAAATAAATCAATAGGAGCACTAACACCATGCACCGCAGGGAAAAATGTTACATTATTTTCTAGAACTATCACTGTTCTGTATATTAGAGGTGGGCGGCAGACATTAATAATTTTATTGTTTTGTTCATAATATTATTTAATAATAAAAATTGCTTGCTAATTACTGGACAATTCACACAGCACTGCCCGTTAACAGTCACTAGCAGTTTACCACACCGCTATACTTGGGATTGTCGCGGGTTCGATTCCTCGCACGGCACAAACATTTGTAAATCACGAGTAAGATAGTTTGTATCGGTCTCTATATTAATGGTCGCGGTTTCAATTCCACGCACGAAGCAAACATTTGAATCCGTGATGATGAGTATTTGTATTAGATTACTTAAACATGTTCTGGGAGGGTGTATCTTAGGTAAATCTCGTTAATAACATATTGGTATAGATATTTAATTTCAAATTAACAACATTAATCATCATCATCATCATTGAATTCCAGAATCATCATTGCCTTGCCTTTAACCCATTATTTGGTGTCGGCGTAGTATGTCATCGCCGATATCCACTGATGCTAGCAGAATGCCTTCGACCAATCTGATGGACCGGATCGTAGCCTATGGACGACTGAAACTCTCAAGGAGGACGAGCTCGTCCCACGCAATGAGTCACCACTAGTCCTTATTACTAATCTTCCTGGAGGGATTGTTAGTAATGTGAATTCTCAGAATCATCATTGCTAGCAATTTACCATGTTATTTGGTGTCGGCGTAGTATGTCATCGCCGATATCCACATTTTTTTTATACCGCGATGGTGGCAAAACAAACTTACGACCCATCTGATGGTGCCCCGCCAGCGTAAACCGTTAGTGCAGGCGTTAAGGTTGCACCATTCCATTATCATCGATAAAAAATTCTTTCCTCCCGTTAATATGACATCGATTCGAAAATACTATACTACAATACTGAGAATTTATACACTTATTTCTCATCATCTTTTGTTTTGGCGATGTTAGCTATGGGTCTACTAGTCCTTCTTCCTATATATACTTAAAAATGGTATCGATTCGAAAATAACAACACTGAGAATTCATATACTTACTTCTCGTCATCTTTTGCCTTGGCGATATGGCTGAATATATGGGCAAAAGAATTAGGTATGATGCCTCGCAGTTCAGGGGCAGAATTAGTCCCAGCCATGGTGTAAGTCTTCCCCGTGCCAGTCTGCCCGTACGCGAATATAGTGCCATTGTAGCCCTTCAGGACCTCTTCCACTATCGGGCTGGCCGTTTGCACGTAAATGTCCATCTGTGTGCAAAAAGATTGTAAGCGAAATGTGCCATAGACAAATATGTTAAGGTAATTATGATAACCCCAGGACAATTCACTCAGCGCCATCTAGCACCAAGCTAAGCAGAGCTTCTGTTATGAGTACTAGACAACCGATATAAATACTTAAAATCATTTTTTTCCAAATACATACATAATATGTATTAATATGTATATTGACAACCTCGGTGGTCTAGCAGTCTAGCACACCGCTTTACGTCCGATGGTCGCGGGTTCGATTCCTCGCACGGCACAAACATTTGTATTCATAAGTATGTTTGTATCGGTCTGGGTGTTTTCTATGTATAATATGTATTTACGAAAAAAAATGTACTTGTATCAGTTATCTAGTACCCGTAACACAAGCTTTAGCTAGCTTAATTTGGGACTAGATGTCGCTGTGTGAATTGTCCTGAGATTATATTATATTAATATATATAGGTCACTCAGTTGAATACCAAGAATCATACTGAATACAAATCTTTGAACTGTGCGAGGCATCGAACCCGCGAATCAAAATTAAAACGGTGTGCTAAACCGATAGACCACCGACGACGCGACGAGGCGTCGAGTATTTGATTCCTTAGTAAAATTCGTTACAAACCTTAAACAAACAAAGTAAATATGATTTTAGGTTCAATTACGTTACAAAGTTCCCCAATAATAGTTGATCTCATATATTTTTCACGTACAGTATTGGTGCGTCCACTCCACCCCTATCAACGCATACAGGGCACGTATTTCATCCTATAATCCCTTACAATTATCAGCCAGCCAAATGACTTGATATAGCTTTCTATTTGCCTTCTTTTATACTAGTGTGGTGAAATTTGTTTCCTTAGTAAAAATTTGTTACAAAAAACTAAACATTATTGTTTTAGGTTCATTTACCTTAATAAAGTATCCTAATAACAGTTTAACTCAATTCTCCAACGACAGATAACGAACTACACATCGTGTGTAGCCCACTCATGTATAAACGAAATATCTCCTTTGGAAAGTATACATTATATTCTGAGGATATAAAACCATCGCTCCTAAGAATATCCTTCAATTCTTGTCCCTCACGGGTCTATGTAGCGAACTTTGAAAAGGGGCGAGCACAATAGATCTATGCAGGTCGCAGTGCTACAGGTTTTAACACCTGAAAATAGCCCAAAACTCTCACTAAAAAATGTATATATTTTCATTACATATATGAAATGATATATATGTAGATTTACATAAATATCATTAATTTAGGTTAAATTGCGTTGGTAATAAAGTTCTCCCAATAATAGTTTATCGCATATATCTTCCACGTACCTACCGATAGGAGGACAGATTTTCATTATTATGTTTCGCTAATTATCAAACATCTGATGAAAAAAATAATGTCATTCATCTTGTGCGTACGTTACCACATAATAAACGGAAAAGATTTGAAATACAAATAGAAATAATATTTATTCAAATCTTAATACAAGCATTTCAGAACTGTTATATAATATTTTTTTTATTCAACCGCACATTCGGATCATAAGAGCTAGGAACTTCCGTGTTAATCATGTAAATAAATGTTGTTCAGCATTATATATTTAAGATTTTTCATTTCATATATATAATGGAAAATGTATAAATATAGACTAGCTGATCCGCACAGCTTCGTCTGCATCACACTTGACATTATATTTCGCCCAATTTACTTAATATCCTATTAAATTATATTAAGTATTCTAATGCATAAGCAATTTAACTTAAAGTTGAAGCTATTTACTGTAGTTTCATCAAAATCTGTTGAGTAGTTTTGCGAGAAAGCGTAACAAACATCCATCCATCTATCGATCCAAACTCACAAAGTTCCGCGCGTTCATATTAATTCGTTAGTTCGTCCAATTTAGATAATATGAATATAGCCTATAAGTTATTCTGATGTACCTACTTATAAGAATAGAATAGAGTAGAATAGTAATGTTTTTCCCAATTTACATAATATAAGTTATAGCCTATGTGCTATTCTGATATATAAGCTACATTACGATAAAGCTTCATAAAAACCCGTTCAGTAGTTTTTGCGTGAAAGCGTAACAAACATCCATACATCCATCTATACCTATCCATACTCATAACCTTCCGAGTTTATATTATGTTATGTGTGTAGTAAATAAACATTTCGCCCAATTTACGTAATATAAATTATAGCCTGTGTCATTCTGATGTATAATCCAAATTACTGTAAAGTTTCATTAGAATCCGTTCAGAAGTTTTTGCGTGAAAGCGTATCACATCAACTTTCGCATTTATAATATTAGTAAAATAAGTGCGAAATTTCATACTCCTGCCATCCGGGCAAGTTCCGTAAAAAACGGTACAAAGTCTTTTCTTCACGTATTAATATAATATTGTTTAGCATTACACAATTAAAATGTTTTATTTAATACGCTATAATAAAAGATTATCCATCTAAAGAATATATTCAATGACGCTATTCGCGTTATATTTGTAAGACAATATATAACAGGGCCAGTGCTGTGGAGGAGGCGGAGGGGGTGAAGGGGCTATGCCAGCTCCAGGGAGGGTTGGGGGGTATGCAGCAATCAATATTGGTGCACCGCGCAGGCAGGTCGCGCGGGCTGACATACTGCCCCAGTTCGCTACAGCCGCAGTGTACATCGGACCTTTGGTAGTTAGGCCGCTCGCTCGTCCCAGTTCTGTATGATCACATTGAAGTACCTAGGGACACGCCCTGTTTTAGCTTGCCAATTGTTGTAGGAAACCAATTATATCGAATAGAGAAATAATCTTTATATAAAAATTACGTATCACGTTGTTAGTCCGCGATGGACTCCTGACACGATTGCAAATTCGATTTGAACATTGTGTGCGCAATTTGATTCAACTTGAAAGATTAGATCACAATTTATCGTCGCAATATTATTTTATTCAAGAACCTTAGCCACAGCAACGCGTGGCCGGGTCTGCTAGTAATGATATAAGAACTTAATATAAATATGCAAAAGGCGCCCTTATCGCTATCTTAAAGCATTTTTTCTTTAAACCAATCTCTTACAGAGTCAACAAATAATCTTTATTCAAAACTGTACTCATACTAGCTGAGACGACAAACGTTTTACGATATAAGATGAAGTACTAAAATCGCTATAAAGAATAGGGGTTGGTTGTAAAAGGGTGAAAATTTAGAAGTGTGTATATATTTATATATTTTTAATGCCAGACAATAAAAATCTACAAATTTTGTCCAGACAATAAAAATATTTGTTTTGAGCTGGACCACGCTTATCACTTAAGGATATAAAAATAGATAACCTATTTCCAGACCTATCTATACCACCATCCAGACGACGCACGTAACCTATTTCGATGAAATTTTATATGTAGGTAGGTACATATGAAACTTCATCAAAATAGGTTACGTCGTTTCGGAGAAGTATGGCAACTAACATTGTAACACGAGAACTTTATATACAATATTACATAGTATAAAACAAAGTCGCCGCCGCTGTTTGTTCGCTTATATCTTTTAAATTACGCAACGGATTTTAATGCAATTTTCAGCAACAGATAGATCGATTCAAGAGGAAGATTTATATGTATAATATATGCGTGTTATAGTATAAAACAATTCGAAAAATTCAAAGATTTGTAATGTGTGCCAATCCGGGACGTGGTTGCTAGTTACATTATAAAGAGGAAACATTTAATAAAAGAGAAAAAAATTAAGGTCCACTAGTTCGGAGCTTAGGGTGCCAAACAGCCCTCTAAGCTCCGAAACTAGGGGTCCTGAAAAATTGTGTTACCATTAGAATCTTAGTTATTCCTGACTAGCTGTACACGTGACTTCGTCCGCGTGGAAATTAACTTTTAATTTCGTAAAATAAAAGTAGCCTAAGTTACTCCTTATTACATCAGCTACCTGCCAAAAAAAGTCCCGTCAAAATCGGTCCAGAATTTCAGAGATTAGCCGAAACAAACAGACCGAAAGACAGACAAAAATTGTTATTTTGGTGTATGTACCGTATTTATATTCATATGCATGTAGTAAAAAAACGGTTATTTGAAAACAGACCATTTCACAATACAAGGAACGTTGAAATTGGTTGTTATTTCTACTATATATGTGTATTACTAACTAAACAAGGAAATGCAAGGATTAATAAAAAAAAAGTACTAATAAAGGACAGTTTTATTCAATAAGATACTATTCCGTAGATGACTACTATAATGTCGACCAAAATGACTTCAGTTGTGTCTCAGGCGTCCATAGGCTACGGTAACCACCACCATAGAAATATAAAAAAAAAGTTGCCCTATTGTACTGTGTTACATGTGTACATAAGATGTTATATTGTAAAACTTATTGTATAATTTACTACACAATTTAAGTATATTGTTTTGGATGAATAAATAAAATAACGTGCTACTACTCGAATCAATACTAACAGACTCCAGCCTCCAGCTCCACAGATACGAGTTATTTATTTAGCGTTAGACATAGACATCTACACAAGTACCTAAAGACTTGGCTTTAAAAATAAAAAGAATTTTAGTTAAGTATCTTGCCAGTTCTTCTCAATTGAATCTGTACACTGGTCTAGACAGTAAGTAATATTATGTATGTTGTTTACTAACATAATATGAATATTCAAAATAATTAATTACTCTGTTAATTACACAGCGCATCTAGTCCCACGGTAAGCAGAGCTTGTGTTATGAGTAGGTACTAGACAACTGACATAAATACTTAGATGTATAATACGTATATTTTTTTTCGTAAATATATAAATAATATACATAGAAAACACCCAGACCGACACAAACAATCATACTCAGTAATACAAATGTTTGCACTGTGCGGGGAAACGAAACCGCGACCATCACAAGTAGAGTGGTGTGCTAAACAGCTAGCCAATAAAAAATATCAAATCAAAATAAATATAAAAATTAGTCTAGAGTGACATGAACCAAATCAAAATATTCGT